ACTGATGAATAAAAATACAGATTTGAATTCTATGAAAATGTGTGACACAAAACATGTTATTGGCCAACATTTTTTATTATAGACTGGGAAGAAGGCTCTTATTATAGCTCGTCAAATAGCGCCCCTCCGCCATAAATCCAATGGGAAAATAGCATGGAGGGGCGCTATTTGACGAGTTATATATAGGAAGACGATGTTCCCTCGATTTCGTTATTATAGACTAGGAAGAAGTGTCTTATTATAGCTCGTTAATTAGCGCCCCTCCTCCATAAACTCAATGAGTATTTAACATGGAGGGGCGCTATTTGACGAGTTATATATAGGACGACGATGTTCCCTAAATTTCGTTATTATAGACTAGGAAGAAGGCTCTTATTATAGCTCGTTAAATAGCGCCCCTCCGCCATAAACCCAATGAGAAAATAACATGGAGGGGCGCTATTTGACGAGTTATATATAGGAAGACGATGTTCTCTAGATTTCGTTATTATAGACGAGGAAGAAGTGTCTTATTATAGCTCGTCAAATAGCGCCCCTCCGCCATAAACCCAATGAGAAAATAACATTGAGGGGCGCTATTTGACGAGTTATATATAGGAAGAAGATGATCCCGACTTTTTTTTATTATAGACTAGGAAGAAGTATATTAGATAGTAAGGTGCATTTTATATGAAATCATTTTAAATCTTTTTATGCCACAATAGAAATTGTGCTGGCCTAGTTTTTGGGATTTGGGATTACTCATTAATACTTTTTTTGATTTTTTTCCAAGGGGTCTTCGGGGGCGCTATTTAACGAGTATGCCCAATTTTATATGCAAACTTTTTAATTACTCTTTTTTTTAACATGTACTCGTTTACCAGTATTATCTTCATGGACTTCATACCTTGATTATATCCAAGTGTTACCAGGAAATAAAATGGACAATTTCGTCCATGATTAGGCAATGTCATCTATTTTAGCAAAATAATCTACCGATATTTTATCATTATCTTGCTTAATTATTTCTTGAACGATACTTAAACTAAACACTTAAAAATAAATGGGGAAATTCTAGGATGTTAAATTAACCAATCCATTACAGTAGCTCTAGTAGCACTTTCTAGTAGGTTAAATAATTGCCTTTTCAGCAATCCAGGTTTTTAAAATCAGTTCGTCTTCATTGAATGAAGTGGATGCACAGCATCCCAAATAGTAAACCTAATTGCACAATGCACTAAATCTGCCACGGAAGCTAAGGGTTCCTTTAATATATAGTTTTTGCTTCTCTATAAAAGAGAGATCCTGAGAGCAAGTTGTTTTGCTAATTTATTCTTGCAAATTACGTTCTCGTAAAAAATCTAAAAAATAAATCCCTAAATCTTGACGTAGGGCTTATCATTTGGGAACAACTGGATACCAAGACATGATGCTATGGATAGGTACCATGCGACCGCACCGCGTGCCATCACGACAGCCACACGGGTTTTTTCTCGCTGCAAATCTGCCGTAGAATACATGACTTATGACTGACTACTATAGATATGATAGAAAAATCTAACCTCGGTCATAGAGTTGCCATTGTCAAGAGATACTGAACTGAATGATGGCGGAAATGCCATTCAGATTTTCAAATTTTCAAGCTACATGTATAATTTGTTAATGTTTTTTCAACAAATTGTACAAAATTGCTATTTTCTTTTTTTCTGAGGGTGTGCGATCGCATCCATCGCACCCCCCCCCCCCTCCGTCGGACAAAAGTAGTTTTCTTGTATTAGTTTTCATGTCTCGGCTAAGCTTTTTACAAGAGTTGAAAAATCAGTTCTGCATTCATTAGAATGAAATGAATGCAAAGACGAGACTGAGTTATGGTTACGCTACATAGGACTAATTGTTGTACTTCTGAATCATTTTTCATACCAAGAATGAGTTGAAAGCAAAATTTGAAATTCAGTTAAAATCAAGAATACGAATTTCATTTTGAAATGGGCGAGACGACTTGGTTCAGACCCTACACGGACTCTTACCCGGCCCCAGTCCTACCCTACCATTTCTAATAGTTTTGAGTTGTACTACTAGGGTTGCTATTGCATTTTACTTTGACTTATCAGCTCAGATACTATACGTTATTGTTTGATTATCATTGTTTTGTAATTAACAGAACAATAACGTAGAGTGGTGCTTATAATTCTTCCATCTGCCATACTATTTTCATTATTTCAGGTTATTAATAGAATGATATTGATATCCAAAATGATATTTGCTACTTATACTTTGATAGATTTTCCAGATTCTACGTCATTAGATCAACCCACATAAAGGTTTGGAAACATTTGATCGCCGTGAATTGCATAAGCGAACCATTGTTTACTGCAATGCGACCCTATCTGACAATACTGGTATATTGGCAAAACTAAAATTAAAGTCATTATTACCAACATTCCCATAAATTATTTACATAAATGGCGATTATCCAAATTCAAGTTTAATATCAATTTGCATTTGTTGTCGTTGAGAACTTAATGTTTGACAAAAAATATGTATATTATTTATTTTTTATGATCCCAATCAATATCAATTTTAAGAACCATAACTTGAAATGAGAAATTTGGATATCCATATTTATGAAGAGGGTGTATTTTATCCATAATTGCTACATAGGCATTTTAAGAACCACAACTTTAACTGAGAATTTTTTTTTAACGTGTCATTTTTGCCATGTACAGTACACGTAACAGTATGTATAGGCCTACTATTAAATAAATAACCTTTATGCGCTGTACCAATTTAATAAAGTAAAATGTATCGTTCTGTTTTCCTCCACCATTAGTAATGTAACAGCTAGCTGCATATCAATGAAATAAATAAAGGGGACTTACATAAGCATGCTACAGTATTTAATAAAACCTATGTCACTCCATCCCAATTGGTCGAATCCTCTCTTTCATCACATAATCTCAAATTCGCAACTACACTTTATTTTGCAAGTTATAAAAATACACAAAAAATAATATAAAAGTGCTTCCTTCGATTTGATAGAACGATATAAATATTCACTCACCAAGTACTGTTGACATTACACGGTAAATGTCACCCCCTTTGTCGAAGCATGTCGCATTCGTGAGACGGGGAAGTGGAATGCTGATCCTTATCAGACAAAGTACACAGTTTTTCACTTCCCGAAAGTGCTTACATAAGACGTTAAGGGTAAATGTCCTCGTATTGTTTCAAATTCAGATATGTATCAATTGAACGTGACGAGTGCTTACGTACGCATAGATCTTTAATTGTTGTCCGTCCTGTTCCCTCTTTGCAGCATTGTCGTCTTGTACGCGATGTACCATCCAGCTCAATAATTGAATGATATTGTGCATGAGAGGTGCTGCCCTCTTTTTCATGTTGACTACACTAGTATATAATAATAGTCTTACTGGTTAACCGATAACCATTATAGCACTTATCTTGTACCCTACGTATATTACACACGTGTGTATCATTTGAAGTGGATATCGTTTGTATTTTTTCTGTATGTTTGTTTGTCCCAAAGCATTATAATAAGAAATAATATGGTCATAACAAGATATTATATAACATCACGATCAATTAAAGTTCAATTTTACCACCCATTCACAACTCAAAACATTCGTGCTTATTTATCCCCATGGAAAGTGGATTATGGAATTTGGGACGAATATTTTCGTATTCTAAAAGCCCAGATTGAACACGAACACACGAACATGAACAGGAAATAAGAAAATTCACATTTAATTGTTTCCAGTTGAAATACACTGAAAAAATATTCTTGGTATAGTCTCGAAAATCATGAAGAAATGCCGATGTCATGTTACTGTGTGGTAGGTATGGATTCTTTCATCAGGCCAGATGAATGATAAAGTCCCACAAGTGGATAGCAACCTTAAGGTAGAACTTCACTTCACTGTCGATCGACTTTTTTATGATTCAGATTTTCTTGAAAAAATAAATATGAAAGATATACTGATGAATAACAAAATTGTGGACGGTTAAAAAGTCCGTCTGGTTGCGAACCCACCTTCTCGGGGTATAAAATTAAAAAAAACATTTAATGCCTTGGTCACATTTGCTCCGATTTTTACTACGGCGCTCGGCCGATTGAGTATTTTGTTCAAAATTGAATTCAATATTGAACAAAACACTTGAGATCGGGTGGGCGCCGGCCGATTGATCGGAGCAAATGTGACCCAGGCATAAAAAGCACACAGAGTTTACACTCGCGGATTGGCCTAGTTCCTTTTTATATGGGTGTGAAAGCTCCCTCATTATTCGTTTTTTCGTTTAGTACTATTTTGTTATAAATACCGAAGTTATGCAATCGGATACAACATCCCTTCACTGCACACACAACAGAATAACTAGTCAATAGAAAATGCATTTAGCCACTGGACAATTTTAAACATTTTTGAACATTTTGCTCGTAAATATTTATTTTCAAGACCATGATATGATAATGCCCTTTGTCACAATGTCATCATACTATTTGCTTTTGAAGTTGCGTTATTAAAGGTTTTGTTTTTGGCATTAGGGATGCGCCAACTGACTGCGCAATGGACATTGAAGTTCTACCTTAACTCACTGGGTGAAAATGGAACTATGGTATATTAATGTAGCCGGTCATCTGGCCCGAGTTTAACAAAAGTATGTCAAATTGCGTTCAAATGAATCCAAATGGTTGCAGTTATAACGATATTGTGCAACATAAGTTGAACCATGCATGAAATGTCTGAATTTCCAAAATTGTGATTTTTACGACAAAATAGTGATTTCTCAAAAAAATGCTAAAATTATTAGCATAATACTTCCATTAGATGGATATTAATGACATTTTCATAATTGCACACTGGCCTAAAAACCTACCCCTCTACACATACACGCCATCTTTATAATACAATCGTATTTATGGGTGGTCAAGAAACTCTGATTAGCCTGATTTATCAGAAACTTACATATATATTTTGAAGTATTTAAGATAACAAACAGGTTGGTTTTATCAACAAATAAACATAATTCAATTTATTTGTCAAATATATGCAAAAAATAGTAAACAGATTTGCGGACATCATTTGGATTATTAATAACAGCATTAGTTAAAACATTTACCTGGCGCATATTAACTAATTTATCGGATTCTTAACTTATGATTGTTTAATATATTTAAAATAAATACATATTATGGCAACTTCATGAATTGAATTCCATCCATGTCTATAATCCGAAGCCGTTGTCAGATGACTTAATATTTACATAATTATTTCACACTGCGTTGCCTCAAGGCGAGACGAACTTGTCAACCTTTTTTGTTACCAAGAGCGACATCTTTTAACAGCTGAAAAACGTCATCACTTCGGCAAACGATATAAATTGTTCAAAGATTGCCTCAAGCCGAGTCCTCAATGTGTACAATAGGTTATAAATTTGTGATCAGAGATGTTTCGTGCATATACAGTATGCACTCATTTATCTCATTGTCATCGAATATTGATTAAGTCATTAGTTTATCTTATAAGACTATTATCATATGTACATTGATTTGTTTACACTTTTGTCCTCCTAGTCTGTTCGTCATTGAATTGTGCTAAGGTAAAAATCAGTTGAAAGAGGGAATAGTATGCTTTTCATAAAAAGTACGATCACACTTTAATTATTCGCACTGCAACAATGGATTAAATCCAAACACAATATTCACCCCTTAAACCAGGGAGTTTTAGGACTACATGGCCACACACATAGTATAACTGTTTAAATAAATAACTGTCTGTTGAATTCAATTGTACATCTGGTTTTAATCGGATCATAAAATATATGCGCCCCACGCATATGAGACATTGCAAGAGCATTCGATGTATTTTGGTTTTTCGTAATCATGTAGATCAGTCATTCGGTGTCATGCAGGGAGACGTACTTAATCCTATTATATTTAATGGAATCCTCCATTAACGTTGAACTCATCATCTCCTCCCTTGTTTAACTTGGGCTGTAACAAAATAATAACATGCTGTCAATGCTGTGTGTGGTATTCAATTCGCCTTCATAGGACGCCAAATATTTTTACATCACGTTAATGGTGCAAGTGATATCGGAAGTAATTTGATTTAACTTTTATATAATATTTAATCTCTATTTATCTGTTGTTCAAACAAAGCAACAGTTTAACAATATACGTGCAATTTATTTCAGAAGGTTTAATTATGCGAACTATTTTTCTTTTTTATTATATCTATAGGATCGAAGCAACAACATTTGGTTCCATTAAAACGGAAATTATAAGAACTTGTTATACTTCTTCCAATACTTTCGATTCCCTTCACAAATGGTATGGGTTTTAGGTCTGCATGTCATGTGAATGACTTGACAATAAAATGGTTCAAAGAGTCTGAGTTCCAAAATATGATACATCTAAGATTGTGCTCTTTTGTAAATATCGAAGTGAATAAATTGGAAACACGCGTTTGAGGCTGAATCCTATTTTTTGTCCCTCGAGTATCAGAGTCTAGTAACGAAGCTCTCCTTTAAAAAACCAAAACATACTTTTGGAAAGTGAACTCCGATTCGCTGAGAGTGGAATAGTAAAACATGTGGTTAACACATCTTCATGCACTTGCTATAACTACTACTCACCCTTCTGATGCATTGGACAACAACAGCCACGACAATGACCAAGAAGAGGAGTCCAATCAGAGCGCCCATGGCGAAGATAATGCCTGATTCCAAACACAGGGTATTCTCTGATGCTGAAACAACATGATAATTTTCATAAGTTTAAGACCCGACGCATGATAATATGAATAACTTTGTGTAGTACTAAGTACATTACCCGGGTACATTAACATAAATACAATTTTATTTTATTCAATTAACTAAGACAGCGCATCATATGCTGATGTCAGATGTACCAAAAAATTGTTGAAAGAGAACTGCATATTTACATTTTCCAATTTGATTTTGAGTGAATACCAATGTTTGTCTTGCTTTGTAAATTCATAACTATCGTAACAACACGACATTTTGAAATTATATATGACTCCATTCTTCAACAATCAGAGCTAACAATAACCTAGGCCCGAGTTATTGTAAATCATGTTATTTAGTACTAAACATCATATTATTCAATACTGAACATTAAGATGAAAAAAGTACAGCTGCGTCTTCTATAGAGATCTATTTCTTTACTCAGAAAATTATTTGTTATACTTACCAATGGCGTGACGGTTCCCATGGGCGTCATCTGCTTCTTGTATCACTACTCTTAAAGAAGTAGTTCGTTGCAATGTTTTGTCGGTCAATTCTGGTTCATCTGCCTGACGCCTGGCTCGTGATTCTGGTGCGTCTCGCTTCTTCCTTCCCAGGCCACCGTCGGAACCACTACAGGTTCCCTAGAAAATAATTTAATTAAATGAAACACTTACTAAAAGAAGTAATACATGTAGTCCCTGGTGACATTTCTAAGGTAGGTAGGCCAGGATGAGAAGGATTTATACTCAAAACGCCTTTGGTACAACTCGGTGACGTTTTCATATCTTCTTTCCTTAAAATCTCAAATGAAGTAATAACGATCCTTTGGTTCAGTGAGACAATCGTTTTTATCCACCATTTGAGGAAGAATTCCAAAGTTCATTTTAAAGAATGAAAGACGTTGATCATCTGTGATGTTCTACTTGCTATGACATGATACTAGTAAGCTATATATTGAGAAATGAAAAACTTACAGCGGCGCAAGAAGAGGCGTCACCAGCAGGGCACACTACAACTGAGCAGTGAAAGTAGACAGTCAGGGCATTGGAGAACTTGAAAGCTGGGAAGGTTGCCTTTATGTCGCTACCACTTGTTTCGAAGGCGCCAAAGAAATCAGTGTCTGAAGCACATCTGAAAAGAGTTTACAATATTTATTATCGTTGGAAAGTTTGAGACGTGGAACTTTTGACATGACCAGAATGAAAATATGTAAAAACTAACTGAGAGATTGCCAAATATTTAAAAATGAAGATATCCATTATTACCCAGATGCATCTGTGAGTGCAATCTGTGTAGCATCTGAGCTGTCGGACGTGGGAGTAGCATAGCACGTGTGTCCCTTAAATGATCCATACGCCCCGCCTATAAAAAGGGATTTAAATATATTTTAAAAGATATTTTAAAAGTGTCATCTCCATAGATACATTTACATGGTCTAACAAGGTTCTACATCATAAAATATCAAGGTGGACCAGTCGGGTATCAGTAAATCATATAGAGCCTTTTTGCTCAAAGTGGGTTAGACTACTTTATATATGTTGCCTTGATTTATGACATTACGTTTTTCCACATATCGCTAGACATTATTTTAATGTTATATCTAATCATTTATAATGAAATCATGTAACTTGTGCCTACTTTGATCATCGGTCAAACTAAGTGTCAGAGACAACGATGTCCCAAGGTTAACTGCCCCAGATATAGCAGTGCCATCAGCGAGGGCAGATGTCATTGTTACAGTAGGGTCACCGGCTATTGAGGAGTCATTTCCAGCGGCCGCGTTCGAAGACCTAGAAGTAAATATAACTGTATAATAGCAATATATGGTTATTCATTGTGGCGTGTACAATCTCTATACCCTTGGAATAGAGAGTCTCTCACAAGCTTTAGATAAAGAGAGACTCTGATAAATCAGGATGAAGGTTGTTTGTTTCACCCTGAAAATGATTGATTCCATAGATGTTTTTTGTTTACAGCATTGTGATTTTCTGGAGATTTGAAAATCATTATTCTGAATTAAGAAGGTAGCCCATCATTAGAAGTTAATCCCAGGGCTCAATGAATCGTGGATGCTTTTTATCACGAATGTCTTGTATTGAGTCTTTGAACAGAAATTGACATTTCATTTTATTTTAAATAATGACATATTATAGTTGATTAGAACTCGGAATGTGTAATGATTTTTTAGCCTATCCTGTACATATGTTTATCACTACCGTATTTTGGAAATTTTTGGTCTTTACCCATTCACGCCCGGTGATCGTGAATATGGGACGGAGGGGGGGGGAGCAGGCAATTTCTGCTAGGAAATTCAACAAATCTGGAAGATTTATTTTTTTAAGAAAAAGTTTACTATTGAATTGCTAAATGGATAGGCGCACGGTATGGTAGAATATGTTAGGTTTTCTGGGATTTTTTCTGAAACGATACGCATCTAAGGTATGAGATCTATTAAAAAAGGCGCAAGGCCATCAACAGGGACAAATCAACGTTTTTGCTATAAATCAAGCAACAATGGACTGCACGACCTGTAATAAATACTTGTAAGTGATGTTATCATAACTAAATTAATGTCATTGCTGAATTTATAAAATAAGTTTCCATACGTAAAATAAAAAATAATCGAATATAATTAAAATGGGACGGAGGGGGGAGGGGACGGAGGGGGGGAGTAATAATTCTATAAAGTGAAACAACTTCACACGAATTCTTGTATTTGAAAAATGAACTCATTAACTTAGTAAGAAACTGGATGATATACCCCTGGAGACTGAAAAATGGGGACATTTGAAGTAAAAGGACTTAAAGTCGCGAAACATCTCTAATCATGTCTTATATACATATTGCTCCCCCCCCCCTCCGTCCCAAATTCATTATTTTCGATTATTTTTTATTTCACGTATGGAAACTTATTTTATAAATTCAGCAATGACATTAATTTAGTTATGATAACATCACTTGCAAGTATTTATTACAGGTCGTCCAGACCATTGTTGCTTGATTTATAGCAAAAACGTTGATTTGTGCCTGTTGATGGCCTTGCGCCTTTTTTAATAGATCTCATACCTTAGATGTGTATCGTTTCAGAAAAAATCCCAGAAAACCTAACATATTCTACCATACCGTGCGCCTATCCATTTAGCAATTCAATAGTAAACTTTTTCTAGAAAAAATAAATCTTCCAGATTTGTTGAATTTCCTAGCAGAAATTGCCTGCTCCCCCCTCCGTCCCATATTCACGATCACCGGGCGTGCCATTGGCACTTTTGTTTAGAATTTGCACAACAATGCAATATTGTTCAGTCAGAAAGAAGTTTCACTCTCTCTCTTATTTTAGCTTGATTTGAAAAATTCTTACGTGTCTCCAGTGAAGCCAGTACCATCTGAAGTCGAACCACTAAATGCATCCGCTGGATTACATGTTATGGTGAGGATTTCATCATCTGATGTTTCAATACCAGTCGAAAGTTTGGGGACGATGATGACTGTTGTGTACACCCCATCCTGAAACAAGAACGACATTTTTTAAGCATCGCCAAAATTCTTTTTCTTTTTCATCGAAATCCCTTTAAAAATTGATTCACCCGTAATTATTGTACAAAAATCGTCATAAATGTTGAAATAAATGAAAAATTAAGGTTTTATTCAATTTTGATATCACTGCTAACACATGCAAAAGTACATCACAGAATAAAACATTGTTGTAATTAACCTCTGACCATACAGCTAGGTGCATGTCAATAAGGTCAAAGTCCCCAGAATCTCTTGTACACTTGTATATAATTATTTGGAAACAGATGGAATACATTTTTAAATAATTCTGCTCTCTTTAGATAAAACTAAAAACCATACCGAGAGAGAAATATCACAATCCGTTAGTGTTGAATAAGTGACAGTGAAAGGACCTGTTCCGGTAACAGCACATCCGGCATCGTCCTTGTAGCCATACGCGTATGGTGTGCCAGCCATACCAGCGTCTCTTGTCACAGAGACTACTAGGGATGTCGCTGAACATGTCGTAATAGAGGCTGAAATAAAAAATATTTTCACACTCTTTATATTAAATTACATAGGCCTACATCTACAAATTGGGTTATAACCTTCACATTTGAATATCTAATGAATGTTATTATTTTATAAGCATAGTTAAAAACGTCAGATTTTCATCACCACAGGTGATTTCTGTATTGACATATTCCATGGGAAATATATATCCTGTACCAAAGAATTTAACCACTGGTAGCAAAAGAGCTCTAGATCGATGTATTGCAAAACAGCCAGTTTATAAACAAAAAACTAGCCTACCTGAGCTGAGTGCTGCCCCGTTTCCACTGTGGATCTTTAAAATAAAAAGATGGATTATTAACATTGCAAATTGACTCTTTGTGTCCGTGTTTTCCATGAAGGCAGTTTTGTAGGATATCTCAATGAAAAGTATTTCAGTATTGGCCAACCAACGTACCCTTGATAATTATTGACGATAACATTGCAAATTGACTTTTTGTGTCCGTATTTTCTATGAAGATAATTTGAGTATTGTGACCGATTCTTGCCATAACTTTCCTATTACGGATTGATTGAAAAAAGCAGATGTGTACCGAGGATTATCTACAATTTGGATAAATCCTACAATTTCGAATTACGTACGAACATCTTTTCATGATGAAATATCAGAATATTTCTCAAAAGCAATATTTTTTAAAATGTCGACATAATACTTCTAAGTAAATAGTACGTACTATGACGAGAGAAAAAATTCAAAAAAAAAATTCAAAATTCAAATGGAATTTGTAAAATATTTGATATTGAAAAAGAAAGGCATAAACACTCATTTGTCAATTACACAAATGCAACAGAATAAATACGCAAAAATTAATTAATTTTCCGAAAAAGAAATTTTATTTCAAAACTATGAAAGAGACTTTGAGAATAAATGCAAATCAGGTAGTATTAAAACACAACTTTGTAATATGGAAACTGAGGAATTGTAAAACCTGTTTCAATTTAGTAATGTTTATCGAAAAATAATACTTTTAAGAACTATTAGTTTTCACTTAAAACACATACCTGCAAAACCAGAAGGACTGCTACAATTCCAGTCGTCCTCAAATACATTCTGGTTTTTCCTTATTTATTATGCCAAAATTAAAAGTTGTCTATTCTTATTTCGAATTTATATATTTAACATTCCCTTTTCAACACAAACTAATTATGTTCGTCCAAGATTATAAAATTGTCTTCCTATGCCGGTCGGTTCTGTTCCGAGTTGCTTAATATGGCTTAACTATCTGACTGTTTTCACTGTCATTGCATATATATATACGTTCTGGTCAGTTACATCTGATAATACCTCTTAAAATAAAAGGAAAAGGATGCGCTTTATGGGCGAGCTTTGCACGATGCTTATATGACTCATAAGGTAATCCTTAGTATTTAAAAGTTTTTGGTAATCGAGCGAAAGAATTACGTATATCATAAGTTTCACTCCATTATGTGATGATAAAAAGGTAAAGAATGTGATGGGGACGATCATTTAATACGTCAGTATACATTTCTAGATCTATAAGCTGTTGTATCATTCATTAGGTATTCACCTTACCGGACCCCACAACGTACTTATTAGAAAGTTCATATCTATCAGCCATGTCAGCTGAGAATCGCCCACCAGGACGAAAGACGTTTTTGAGGTGGGAGGGGGTGTGGGAAATGTGAAACTTCGTATGCGTCCTCTGTGTTTCTGGGTGCATATCAAGAGTGATTTTTTTGTCAGTTTACTGGGCGGGTGGCGGGTTACATCACCAAAATGTTTCGACTATCATTGATGGATTAATTTCAATTTTTTAGGAAAGCTCAGAATCTGAAAGCTTTTAGGAATCGGTCGGTTTCCCTTTTCCGTTCCGACATCTTTGAAATTCAAGGTATCTTTAAAGGGATTAATATCTAAACCTGTAAGTTTGAGTGCATACTTTGTTTTCAGAATACTATTTTGCATTTTTCTTGCCTGTACGTTTCCCTCCAGTAGCAACTGACACCTTATCAACCAAGATGGCGAACACAATTATTTAAGTAATAACGTACTTATTTATTAATACACAGACATCATTACATTTTCAAACGCTGTAATTATAGGCTTTAAGAAATATATGGATAATTATATAAAAGGGAATGATATCATTGTTGTTATCTTCAAAGTTAGATTCAGCGTTGGTCCAAGTTTGGTTGGTCTAAGTTTGGTTGGTCCAAGTTTGGTTGGTTCAGTTCTTTCAATCATAGCTGCTGCATCACAGTGTAGCCAGATCTTGAAGGATGCCCAAAATTATAAATATATTATATTCATACCAGAATATTTTTTCAGAAAACGTCGTTTTGTACATGTAGCCACCTAATTGACGGCAGAACGTCGGTTCATCGTTTCGCTAAAAATAAATAAGAACTAGTTGAAACTGATCAATTGTAAATGTTTGCCAACCTTGAATGTACAGAGTTCAATTACCATGTACTGTGTGCACAACTGGAACTGTTGTAATTGTTAAGTGAAAAGAATAAAATATTTTAATAGATTTTTGTGGATAAAGCTGCTCATGAAATTCTTCTCCATTTAGACGTCATGCATTGTTGACTCAGTAAGGATGGCCAGCAATGGTCGGGAGAGGTTCAAGCACAGAGACCCCCCCCCGCGGCCAAAATATTTTAAAATCATGCAGTTTTTCACCATTTTGAGCACTTTTTCAAGTGATTTTCTGCCAAAGTGTGAGCCCCTCTGGAATTTGAAAAGCAAACATTCCCATTGGTAAAAGCTAAAAGCTAAATGAGAACAGCTCAAACTTTTATTGGTGAACTTCATGTTTATTGTAAATTTAATTATGGGCAGTTATACACCCCCTGGGGTATCATAGCCTGTATAATGTTGTAATTTTTGTAATGAAAACTGAAATAAATTATTTTGAAATTGAATTGAATTGAATTGAACTTCATGGGATTTCAACAATTTTTTTTATTCATATTTTCATTAATTTGCTCTATAAATTCAGGGCCGTCAGATGGGGGGGGGGTGCGATGGGTGCGACCGCACCCCCCTTTGTCACCCCCCAAAAAAGATTTGAAAAAAATATTTTTTTTTTGTAATTTTTTTTTCATTGACTCATATACTTTGAAAGTACCCAGAAAGCACCAAATAGCATCTTAAAATTGTAAAATTTTCTAGGGGTATTGGCCACCCCTCACACCCCCCACAAAACAATGGAAACGTTCCAAATTTATTTTAGTGTTTTGTCTCAGACACTTTTAAATTGCCCAGACATCGTCAAATAGCTCCTTGTTATAGTTAGTGTTTCTGGGGGACTTGCGCCCCCTCTTGCATCTTGCACTTGCATAGCCCCCCCCCCCCCCCTCTGGCGCCCCCCCCCCCCTTGACCCCCCCCCCCAAAAAAAAATTGTGATTTTCTCAAATTCTTTAATTGACTCATACACTTTGAAAGTGCCCAGAAAGCACCAAATAGCGTCGTAAAAATTTAAAATTTTCCAGGGGGAGTGGGCCACCCCTCACACCCAAAACAAAACAATGGAAAAGTTCTGAATTTGTTTTATGTATTGTCTCAGACACTTTTAAATTGCCCAGACATCATCAAATAGCTCCTTGGAAGACTAACACTTACTTGCCCTCTGGCATCCCCACTCCACCTCCCCCTCTGGCAGCCACCCCCCCCCCTTAAACCCCCCCCCCCCAAAAAAAAGAGATTTTTCAAATTTTCTTGGGAAATAGGCACTTTTAGGCACAGACACTTTTAAAGTGCCCAAACTTCATCGAATAGCACCTTGATATTGTAAATTTTGATATGGGGGACAAACACTTGCTCCCCCTCTGGCACCCCAGCCCCACCTCCCCCTCTGGCACCCCTCCCCCCCCCCCTTTGACACCCCCAAAATTTGAAAAAAATTGAGATTGTTTTTCAATGTTTTTATTGGCTAATACACTTTAAAAGTGCCCAGAAGCACCAAATATCATCTTTAAATTGTAAAATTTTCTAGGAGAGTTAGCCACCCTTAACATCCCCCACAAAACAAAAGAAAATATTCTGAATTTCATGTATTGTCTCAGACATTTTTTAAGTGCCCAGACATCATCAAATAGCACCTTGATATGGTCAATGTTTCTGGGGGACAACCCCTTGCTCTCCTACTGGCACCCCACCCCACTTCACCCTCTCATTCTCTTTGACACCCCAAAAGAATTTGAAACTGAAAAATTCACATTTTTCTTATTGACTCATAACGCACAGGAGTACCAGATGGTTGCAAATTCGCTCCAAATACAACCAAATTTCAAAATTTTCCTGAGGGAGAACCCCCAGACCGCCCTGAATGCTAGGTTTTTTATTCACTCCACTCTTATTCCCGTGGTGGTGGCGTACTACTTAGAAACTTACACTTTGAAAGTGCCCAGAAAGCACCAAATAGCATCTCAAAACTGTAAAATTTTCTAGGGGGAGTGGACCGCTCCTTATAACCCCCACAAAACAATTGGAACGTTCGGAAGTTGCATTTGTTAATATAGGGAGTAACTGACCCCCCCCCCCCTCTGTCTTACGTGATTTGATTTACGCGGCAAAAAAAAGACAATTTTATATTCTCTTTAGTAAGCTAAAAACCGCACCCCCCTTGGAGAAAAGTGTCTTACGGGCCTGTAAATACTATACTGTATACTATAAATGCACAATTGCAATTAATTAAGAACAAATAGGACCTACAAAAATATTGATTTCCAAAAATATTGATCAAAATCTATGGTTTTCAAAATTATAAGTGCTTATAAGTGATTATGGATTACGATACAAGGTCTGTCAAATCACATTCCTTTTTATAATTAGAAATAGGCACGAATAGTATCTATAAATGAATTTCTCATGAAATTGGCTCTTATCAAATATTCTCCTCCAGCTGTTATTGTATTCTGAAAAATTACACCAGTTGTTACATATTGTTATACCTAAAATCGTTTCTATGATATTTCTAAAGTTAGGGATGTTATTGCCAGATAAAAACCCAATAACAATATGTTGATACCCAATATCAAATTTTAATTGTGTACAAGTTAATTCATTTATATTTCGTTTGAGAAGTCTGAATTTTAAAGATATTATAAAAGAATTCAGCTTTTTTTTTATTTTGTATATCTACAAAATGATTTTAATTATTTCAACAAATGAATTGTACGACTAGTAACCTAAATGCGTCGTAAAAAATAAGTGTATAGCTTTAATTTCACACGTACACATACGCTCGTAGCTACATAGGCAAGGTGTGTCAATTCCAACCAATCCACCGTTTTTCATATAACTTTTATATCACCAACCACCGCATTCAAGGTTACTCTTTATGCTGTTGTCAAGGTGACAACTTGAGTCTATATTGAAATTGATGCTTTGCAAACTTGACCCTTGCAACATGTTTCATTGAAAATATGTACTTTTAGTGATTTCTTTTAAGTGACATGGTAGAGAATATTTAACAATGTGTGAAAAAAATAATTAAAGCCCAGGACTCAATGCATTGTGGCGTTGTTTCCTAAAATTAACACTCGATGCTGCGCATCTCGTGCACATTGGAAAGAAACACTTTCAAGGAATGGTCATTCCATATTGCACTGAGTCCAGGGCTATAATATTTAATTCACACATAGCTAGGTAAGGTGTGTCCGATTTCAGCCAATCCGAGCAGAATATTCACATAATGAACAGTGTGTGAAATATCATTAACGCACTTGTTGTGTACAGTTGCTAAGCGATTGAGATTGGAATTGAGTTTTCCAATACTTGACCCTTGCAAAAGGTTTCATTGAAAATATGTTATTTTAGTGATTTTGTATCTTTTACATGTAGGTGATTTTATAGAAAATATTTTGCAATGGATGAAAAGAATTTAAGCCCAAGACTCAATGCATTGTGGCTGCTTCATTCCACTCAGATATTGTTTCCTAAACCTTGCATTCCCCCTGCGGGGTCATGCAAAGATTTGAAAACAACATCTTCGAGGAATAGTTCAGCACACAATGCACTTAGCCCAAGGCTTAAATCCTTAAATAAAAAATAAAAGATTAGATTACGATCGAGACGTCGTAAACGATTTTTGGCTTATTCAAAGACATAACATTTTATATTTATCTCTGGTTTAATACTTCGGTTAAGGTTTTAGGATTGGTACATGTACATTAGGGGGCGCTGCTTCATGTGCTCACGTTCATAAAAAGGGCTTCTCGTCTGGAGAAGCTTTTTGCCATATTTTTGCCAGGTCCTCTATCTTATATGTTTCTAATCAAACAGATACTACAGGCTGTGAATCTCATAATGTTTTTGAGAAGACCCTTCGGATTTTCCCTAAAGCTACTTTTGAGTTTTTGAGAAATGAAACAAATATTTTGCCAAATTCTGATTTACCGGTCCTTCTTCGTCGTATCTTCTACTCCAACAGATTACAGGCTGTGGATTGATCCTCCTGAATTTCAGCTGGAAAGCCACTTTGGAGTTTATGAGAAGTGAAACACTTCTGTTGAAATTAACCTATATTTGCTTCTTAGAGTCTATTAGAAACGGTGTATCTATCTATTCCTAGACGACATGATAGACGCTATAAACAGAATGGTGAAGGGTTATGATATAACCAGCCATGATAAAGGAGATTAAGAGAAGATGTAAGGAAATGTCTTACAGATTATTGGATTATGTAGTATTATTGATAATAAATGAATATTACGCTTGGTTCTTCCATGGATTCAAGAGAGATTCCCTCACATTTCCAAATCTAAAATGGAAATTTTACGTGATTTTTGCAAAATAAGAGGTGGAACAGAAAAGAATGGGAGGTTTTGGATCTGCTGTGTATTATCTTTCTAAAATAGAATAAGAATATTGAAAATAAGTAGGGCGTCTTCGGAATAATGCATGGAATAAAACATTGCATATTGAAAGTTTGTTCTCGCATACCTTTGATGGAAAATCAATTCTGACAATTTGAATAATAGCCGATATTGAAAAAATACTACAATCGTCTGCTGCAGGAGTAAACAATAACTGAGATAAATATCAAGGATCAACAAAGTTTAGATCAGATGAACAACTATGAAAACACTGTGTGGACTTGAACAAAGACAATGATGTCGGACTGCTATGAACTTAATTTTGACCATTTTTCAAAATGAAATAAAAAGAAACTGGGATATTACAAAATACCACCACAGAGCCACAGATGCATGACATTTCTAAAGGCCATTCATTGTTTCCAGAATCAATATACTAAAATGGTTTAAATCTGAGAAATGAGAAATGTATTTAATTTTATTAAACAACAGAATGAATGGTAGTTAAAACAAGCTGCGTTATTTAGAATTGTGCAATAAGCAAGCATAAATGTATGAAGATGACAAAAGAACTCAGGCGATTCTTTATGTTTGCATCGAGCCTTGCGCTGATCATTCCTGGATTGGTATGGTACTTCTTTGGGATGTACTCGAATAGTGATATGTATTCGTCAACACGCACTAGATACAGGCCTAGTGTAACTAAACACTGGGATGTTCCAGATGATTCTTCCACAAGTTTCATTTCAGTTAATGACACTGGTATTCCAGTTAAAGTTGAAGGAGTATTAAGATATGATGGATCACCATCTGAGATATATGACAACAATAACATATCTAGTAGAAAATATACAAATGTAGCATTTACTGGGGTTATAAGTGATTTAATAGCAAAGTTGTTGTATAACGTATCAACTGATCACCAAGATATTAACTCTTATGACACGACTGAAGAAGAATCCAGCGCGTATGACAACATTCGTGGAACGCAGACTCAAACTGATAATTCCAAACGAGCGAAGAAAAGCTCCTTAATTGCTTCGAAGGAGCCAGAAGTGACTTTGGAAGATTTAGTAAGTGGAGCAGCTTCAAGACCAGATTTAGTTAGTGAAGCAACTTCAAGACCAGATAACTGCAAGTCATGTTTCCCAGAATCTTCCTATCTTTACATGCCTCCTGAGGTCTGTTCCACAACGTCACCAAAGTCCCCGTATGTGACACTTTTATTGCTGATCTTCACAACTCATGAAAACAAGGCGCATAGGGACACTTTAAGACGAACTTGGGCAAGTATCGCAGATAAAAACTCAGCCGAGGTACGATATGTCTTCTTGCTTGGGAAACACAAAGTCCGAACGCTGAATAAAAAGGCATTGGAAGAAGCTAAAAAGTATGGCGATATTGTGATTAAAGACTTCGATGAAGTTTACAGGAATTTAACATACAAAACAATAGCTGGATTCCAATGGGCGTCGAAATTTTGCTCAAATGCACAATATGTTATGAAAACAGACGATGATATGTGGGTGAATACGCCTAAGATCCTAAAGGATTTAGAATCATGGGACATAAAGAATGAGGTTGTAGGGGACTGCTACCAAACTGGGGTGCCAAATAGGGATAAGAAATCCAAGTGGTACGCTTCCTTTCGAGAATATCCTAGGTCAACATACCCAGGTTTTTGCTCGGGAACAGGTTACCTCTCCACCATGAAAGTTGTAAAAGATATTGTAAAAGTATCTCCAAATATTCCATATTTCTATCTCGAGGACGTCTATGTGGCGATATGTATACGAAAATTGGGTTATACGTTGAGGAAACATTATGGATTTCACAATGCCAAAGTGCTATTTGATCAATGTTTGTATCATGAAATCATCATCACTAGTCATTATGTTACGCTGGAAGAAGTGGAGGCAGCTTGGAACGCCATATGTTGATATATAAACGCTGGGTTTGATGTCATTATTTGAAAGGATAACGGTTTAACATTTCATTTTGCAAGGTTGAACCCATATTTTAAGACATAAATCAAAAACCCATATACGTATTTCTATTATTTTGTATCATTCCTGTCTGGTTGTAAATTATTTACATAAAACCAACACTCATGAAATATTACACCAATGTATTCAAAACATTACAGAGAACCACGAGTTGTTTGTAAAATGAATCGGGGGAGTTTTTTCATGCATTTTGCTTGTGTTTTTCATCTGAAACATCAATACACTTTAAAACATTTTATTGACTATAAGATTGCACCATATAATCCCAAAAAAATATTTCTCAAATATTTCTCATTTTCAAGGATTATCTATGGATTAACAATCAGGTATTTTTATTTTTACAAATGTTTTTGAATAACATAAATGCTGTTTTAAATAGTTTCATGTATAGTGTACCATCAATTTCTCAAATTGTGTAAATGGTCATCGTGGTAAGCCACGCCCTCTCCATCTCTATCCTTCTGGATGCAGCAGAGAGAGATGCTATGAGTATCAGAATGGTAAATGGTACCTATTCCCTAGTCCCTAGAATTTTCTCTTTGGGGAATTTCCCATAGTAATCCAATGGTATAGTTCCAAGCAGATTTTGAGATAACAGGAAAGTTTATCATTAATACACACATTTTGGGTTGTATAAACCAAAACAACCCAATAAGGTGAAAAAACTCCCCCCAATTCATGAAAACCCTCCCGATTCATTGTACAGACACCTCAAGGTCTTCTTATCTCCTTTGGTTCCATAAGACACAGAGCCAAGCATCTGTGAAAGAGACCAATGAATGTACAGTTTGATGGTGCCCAGATCGAAATTGCCCCCAAAGTAGCTAGCTCTAGCTACCATGGCCCAGGAAGCTTGAACATGAAATAAATGCTAGGTTCAGTCGAACCACAACTATTTTACAAAATAATCATTGATTTCATCATCATCATGAATAAAATTGTGTCGTTCCAGCTGCTGAAATAAAACAAAGAATTAAGTAATAAAATACAACGTCAGATACTGTACGTAATCGTTACAGTTTTCAAGCATAAATGCTAAATTAGAGCAACGGAAATAAGCGGCTTTACATTAATTTTTCGCCTGCACTTGAAAATCTTTTGAAATGATAGGATACCATAAGCATCTCTCGCGAATTCCTTCATCCACAGATTTGATAGATATGATATTGCAGACTTATAGTTATGCATGACCTGGAACATCGTATTATGTCGACAATAAATATTCTTTAATTAATATTCACTGGTTATTTATAGTCTTTATTTAATAGGCCATATATGCAAGACGATATCGTTATTTCTATGGTGTAATAAGATTCAGAGATCGCAATAAAAATGCCATCATCATACTAGTCTAGGCTCTTCGTTTTTTTTGTTCGAAACAATGAAGAAATCAAGCCATTATGATTTGATGAATATATTGATTGTTTGAAATAAACAAAAACCACCCGAGCAAGTTTGTCGGTCACTTTTTGTCCCTGAAAATTATGTTTTGCCCCCACCCCCAGGGGGTAGCAGGGAGTAAAAAATTATTTCAAGAAAAGCTTTTCATATAATAACATAAAATTAGTTGATTCAAGAAGTAAATACTGTATATCAGAAAGCGGTTTTAGTAAAATCAATAATTTAATTATCTAATGTTCAGTAATTAACAATATTGGTAACATGATTCACGAAAACCCTCCCGATTCATTGTACAGACACATCAAGGTCTTCTTATCTCTTTTGGTTCCATAAGACACAGAGCCAAGCATCTGTGAAAGAGACCAATGAATGTACAGTTTGATGGTGCCAAGATCGAAATTGCCCCCAAAGTAGCTAGCTCTAGCTACCATGGCCCAGGAAGCTTGAACATGAAATAAATGCTAGGTTCAGTCGAACCACAACTATTTTACAAAATAATCATTGATTTCATCATCATCATGAATATAATTGTGTCGTTCCAGCTGCTGGAATAAAACAAAGAATTAAGTAATAAAATACAACGTCAAATACTGTACGTAATCGTTACAGTTTTCAAGCACAAATGCTAAATTAGAGCAACGGAAATAAGCGGCTTTACATTAATTTTTCGCCTGCACTTGAAAATCTTTTGAAATGATAGGATATCATAAGCATCTCTCGCGAATTCCTTCATCCACAGATTTAATAGATATGATATTGCAGACTTATCGTTATGCATGACCTGGAACATCTTATGTCGACAATAAATATTCTTTAATTAATATTCACTGGTTATTTATAGTCTTTGTTCAATACCATATATGCAAGACGATATCGTTATTTCTATGGTGCAATAAGATTCAGAAATAAAAACGCACTACAATAAACAATACACTTTTTGACTCAGACTGAAACATCTCAGTAGTTCTCGCACTCCATGGCCAACAAAGTATTATTCAGACGGTAACATATAAAGACTGCAATTAGTTGAAATGATGTGTCTTGGAAGAAGCTAAATTCAACATGAAACTCGGTGCAAGGTCAACATTTGAACTGCACATAATTTTGATATAAAACTAAACACTCTTGAATCCATCTGTAATGACTGGAAACTTGAAATTAACATTGATAAAACAAAAATCATGAAATTCTGGAAATGTGACAAAGTTCGTCAAGAACGGTTTCAAATAAATGGTAACCCTACTATCACACCAAACTAGTTCTCACTACGTTCTCGAAAACGGGCTTAAACTGTGCACGAACGGATTTGACGTACTAAGAACCCACTAAAAACCGTATGGGATCTGTTTACAAACTTCATGAAACTACTAGAACGAGTAGGTCCTCCAGCATGCTCAAAATTTTCTGGTGATCGTCAAAACGTTGCCGAATCGGTTTTAAACTGTGTGCGAACTGAATGAACGTTGCTACAACGTTCTACGGTCTGTTTACGAACTTTATGGACTTTCCCGGACGGGGTATGTGATTTCGAATTTTGAATCGATTCAAAATTCGATGGCGACCATACCGTTCTGTAATCAGGTCATGATGACCTTCTAGACTAAGGGACAGTTTATACTACGTTGCACACCGACGTGATGCGACCTGAACGAACTGCGAATGAGATGGACGTATTGAAGACTGTTTATGAACGAAGTAGCTAATTATTTTAGACATATATCTCGACCGCAGCCAGATTGAGCCCGTTTTACGACATTTTCGTAGGACTGGCAAGAACGGGTAAGAACTAGTTTGGTGTGATAGGGGGTAAGAATATACAAAATGTTCAAAATTATACAATTTAGGAATTGTCTTGAGTGCTTCTGGATCTTTTAAACCGGCCCAGCAAGACATAAAAGAAAAGGCAAATAAAGCCATGTTTAAAGTTCAAATTGACAAGCGGCACAGAGATGAAATCTTCACTGAAATTGAAATTGTATGATCAACCTATCTAACCTACCCGTCCCTTTATACGTTTCGGAAATATGGTGTAATGATATTTATACCAAGCGTGACTGCCTAGCTAATCGAGATATTGAACAGAAATACGAAAGTGCTTCAATTGAAAACAGTCATATTCAGTTCCAAAAATGTGTTCTCAGGGTTCATAGGCTCTTTTCTTCCTTTATCATCACTGGTCATATTTTCATTGGTTATGGGGGGGGGGTGCGATCGCACCATCGAACCCCCTCCTGGCTACGCCTATGACATTGTAAGACGATTTGAAAAACATGACAAATCAATCTTACTCTATTTTCAATAGTTCATATGTCGTGAATTGTTTTGATTATGATTTAAATCTGTAAATGGCTATCGTTACTTTAGTAGAGAGGTGACGTGTGTTAATTTACATGATGCAACGTGTACGATAGCCTTGCCCATGTCGGTATTTTTTTACTTATCTGTTTTTGAATTATTATAATAGAAATCAAGATAGTAAAAGAGAGTGTTATGCGGTAAACACGATACAAAAATATGTCATATTCCGCAACGAATATGGCATATTCACTTGCGGTGTATGACAGATTCACCTGCGGTATATGGCATACACACTAACCAATGAGAACGTGATGTGGAAGTACGCAATTGTCAATTGCATCGATTGAACGAACAAGTAAAACGTTATAGATTATTATAATGATTATTGAATCAACAGTACTGTGTATCGAATATATTACCTTATCAGAAGTATCAGTCACCAATCTCGCGTAATAAACTTACTCAATCAATCCAGGATTCATATATTAGTACTCGACGCACTAAATATATTGCTAATCCAGCGTATAGTTTTACATTTAGAGTCGATTCTCGCAACCAATCAAACCAACGCTTTCTGTATCACGTTTTCACCTGCGGTATATGTCATATTCACCTGCGGTATATGGCATATTCCGCAAGTGAGTATGACATATTCCGCAGGTGAGTATCGGGTATTCACTGAAATCAATGTATCGCATATTCACTGCGGAATATCGCATACTCACTTGCGGAATATGCCATATACCGCAGGTGAGTATGGCATATTCACCTGTATCACAAATACCGCGCAACCATGAATGTATGCCATATACCGCGTAACAAGAGACCGACTTGGGCAAGGCTGCGTGTACGATTTTGATTAGTTATCATAATTTAAGTTATCCCGATTTTCGACGAAACGTCCACTGTAGTGTAAATTGTTACGTCTTACAATGTCGTAGGCGTAGCCAGGAGGGATAGCACCCCCCCCCCCCCATAACCAATGAAAATATGACCACGACGATAGAGGAAGAAAAGAGCCTTAAAATGCTTTTTTTTAAGCTTCTAGCTCAATTTTGAAGGATGTTACATACACTTTTGTAATTTCAAAACAAATCTTACGTTTTCTAACTGATCTAATTATGTTATATGTTCGTATTTTTCGTTTTTGGGGTACCCGTTTTTTCGACCGGGTACGGGTACCAAGTTTGAACCCAGCATGGAGGATTTACTACCTGGTACCCGGTTTTTTCTACAAACCCATCTGGATTCCAAAAGTTTCACCATGCAAATAAATAAAGCTAAGCTACGATCACAGAAACTTGTATCACTATGATATGCTTAGATGCAGAGTCTCTATTATATAGCCTATAAGCCAGCATATCAAAACTATACCATATATTAAGGTGCTACCGGAGTTCCTGTGGCTACGATTGTCAACAACCAAAGTAAATGCTCTAACAACTGCGATATGGGTAATTTTAAAGAATACAGCTTCACTTAGAATGACTTAAACTTTGTCATCATCAAGAATTGGCTAGAGGGTCTAGAGACTCAGTAGGTTTTGTAGAGATTTTGGCGAAAATGGCCAAATTCCAGTCAAAATCCTCGGGACACAGGGCCTTTGTCTTAGATTTAGTCAATGATGCAACTCTTAGTAGAAGGTGTGCCATATCACGGGTAGTATCTAAAGCCCCGCTATGATTTAGAAGTCGCGAGCAAATACCCGCTGAAATCGCGAGCAATTAAAAGAAAAGAAGGGTTATCTTTTGTTTACTTAAATTGTATGTTGTAAAAAGCGTTTTCATTTAATTTTACTCAATTATTACATGGTATTGATAGTAAAAAGCAACTCCTGCAAAAAAGGATCATGAGCTTATGTTCTGAGTTTTGTTATTCGATAATTGGAGAGAGAATGTATCATCTTGAATCTTTATCTATATATTTCTATATTTTATAGCTGAAGAAGGTCATTGCCCTTCAGTTGAAATGGTCATAGTAATATGAAATGAAGGTATTGTGAGTTTCACTTCCTTAAGTTTCACAAAAAATTATATATTTCAAATTTAGCATATCCCTTGAGGCCCCGCTTCTACCATGAGCAATAAACTAAAGATCCCGCTGAAAACATGAGGAGGCCCCGCTGAAAACATGAGGAGGTCCCGCTGAAATCAGGAGCAAGTGGCTCTCTAAAATGGAGTGAAGACCGATTTGACTTTGCAAATCTGCCACGACTGTAGCCAACGTCATAAATATATATATTGATACTCTACAGAGCACATATATATCATTGTGATTGTTATTATCGGTTCGAGCAACCCTCCCCCCTTACCAAAAGCTGGCTACGAGCATGATTCCAATAAAACCATTTCACTTAATGTATTTCGACCTGACTCCATCGAGAAATTACCAAGAGAAGATTTAAATCCATTCCACGACTTTTGACAAGTTTCAAATAACTCGTTCTTCTTTGTATGCAATATATATTTATATTTCACTGAAGTTACATTATACTGTAGTTCAGTATATTACTACCTTAGAGGATTCAGCACCAATGGCGCACACGTTTGAAAAGGCAATTTATGGATCAACTGCTAGATGTAAGTAACAAAGGAGTACATCATCCGATTATGAGTCCGAAATTATAATAATCAAATAATTTCATCATTAACAATTAATCGTAGGATATGTTAAACGCACGTGTTACGCGGAAAACATGATGCAAATATGTGTCATATTCTGCAATAAATATGGCATATTCACTTGCGGTGTATGACAGATTCAGCTGCAGTATATTGCATACCCACTAAGCAATGAGAACACGATACGGAAGTACGCAATTGTCAATTGCATTGATTGAACAAACGGGTAATCATTGTGTCATTTTCACCTGTGGTATATGACATATTCGGCAAGTGAGTATGACATATTCTGCAGGTGACTATCAGGTATTCACTGAAATCAATGTATCGCATATTCACGGCGGAATATCGCATACTCACCTGCGGAATATGCCATAAACTGCAGGTGAGTATGGCATATACTGTATACCCGTATCACAAATACCACGCAACCATAAATGTATGCCATACTCCGCGTAACATCGTATCTGTTACGCGGAATATGGCATATATTCATGGTTGCGTGGTATTTGTGATACGGGTGTATATGCCATATTCAGCTGTGGTATATGGCGTATTCCGCAGGTGAGTATGGCATATTCCGTATTGAATATGTGATACATTGATTTCAGTAAATACCCCATGCTCGCAGAATATGTCATACTCACTTGCAGAATATGCCTTACACCGCAGGTGAGTATGCCATATACCGCAGGTGAGTCTGTCATACTCCACAAGTGAATATGCCATATTCATTGTGGAATATGACATATATTTGTATCGTGTTTACTGCGTAACAATATGTCCAGGAAAATGGCTTATGCAGGACATACGATTTATATGTCCCGGATCCACGTTTGAGCGGGACATACGAAAAATATTTGCCCGGATATGGAATATATTCCCGGTTGATATGTCCCTGAAAATTATCAGGTATGGTATACAAATGGTCATTATTTTAATAAATATTTAAAAACAAAAACTTGAATGTTATTGTTAAATTATAAAAGTAGAACCTGAATTCTCATGGAGACTTTGTGGTTCTCCTTTCTCTCTAAATTTCATCTTCTTGCAACTTGGGGTGTCTTTGTTTAATACAAGACTCATTACCCTGAACCTCAGGCTTCAATTAAGTTCATTCTTGAAATGATATCCACCTTTCTCCTATACATTTTGATATGGATGCAACTCTATAAAATGTTTGACGAAATCTCTGGTGGCTTGAAGTTGGAATGGAAACATTAGAAACCTGGCCCTAGAATGAAACAGTATATATACAGTAATTATTAGAAATACTTAACTTGGTCTTACGTGTACGTTTATTTGAAGAACCTCAATATTTTATGTAATAGTAATGAGCTTTCCTCGTGATCGAAGCGGGTACTCGTGATATCTGCTCCTGTTTTCAGCGGGACCTCCTCATGTTTTCAGCGGGGCTTCCTCATAATTTCAGCGGGGCCACTGGCACACCTTCAATGATGTATTATACCCCCCACAGTGGATGTTTTTGAAAACAAACTTATCAATACATACAATGTTGGTCCAATATTCATAATGAGGTATGTATATCGTAGTTCGTGTCTCTATTTTAACCATAAAAGTAATATGTTAACAGTAAATTATGCAAACGTGCATATTGACGCCCGTTTCTTCCATGCCAGTAAAAATAGTTATCTTTCATGTCATTGTTTGTGAAGATATACCTGTTCTGAAAGTATACCTTAAGTATCAAAGAACAGTAATGCGTATTCTCACCTTTTTTGGTCCATATTTCCAGATGAATTAAATAAAAAGGACTTTGCTCGTGATTTCAGCGGGAACTTGCTCGCGACCTCTCAATCATAACGGGGCTTTGGATACAACCCGTGCATATAAAACCACAGCCTAAGGCCGATAGAAATTGTTTTTAAGTAAAGATGGCATGGTACTCGATCTGTGTAATTCTAGCAGTCTCCGAGCCTTTCGTCCAGTGCCATCCGTACCTCCTGTGCCTTACCTCAGGTAGTGAAGGTACGCAACGAACGAAATGAATTTTGAGAATGATTCTAGAGAAAATTGGATCCTATTGGTGCTGCCATCTTTATATCGGTCCAGAACATACGATTAAAACTCAAATCAATTAAATTCTTTGTATCCGCAATTTACACCAAAAGTCACGTGACCATTCCGTTGAGGAAGTAAACAGGTGAGGTGAAATATATTTGAACAAAACACACTTGTACAGCAGAGTTTTGACTCTCATTATGGATTTCAACGCTTAAGTTGGAACTACTATCGTCGAGGAATCTATTACAAAGGATATATAGTAAGCTGGATCCAAACATAATGAATTAAATACACACCTGTAATCAGTGTCACCTGGAATAATTTTTTTGTAAAAGATGGCCCCAATTTCGATGACTAATGGGCCTGGAAAGGTTCTGCTACTATTATTGATACAGTTGGTGGCTGTGAAATCTCAAGAACCAGGAGTAGAAGTTCAATTTCCACTCGATGGTGGCCTCATAGAATATGACCAAACTATTACAACAGAACATAGCCCTTACATTGTACGCAATGATATAATTGTGGCTGGAAGTGCCGTGCTAACAATTGACGCTGGAGTAGAAATGAGATTTAGCCCAGGTGTAGGAATGGTCATTAATGGGACACTCATAGCGAGGGTAAGTTTAAAACTTTTTAGCATACTTCTCATAATTAGCCGGCAGGGTGCCAAAACAAGAGCCCCTTGTTCTTACAGATAGTGGGGAGTTCTTATCTTGAGCATGGGTTGAGCCAGTAGTACATGTAAGGTCCTGACAATGTCCCAATACATTGTGCGTATGGTATACTATATGGGAGAATTTTCCACATTAATAAATTTCTGAGTATTTTAGCACTTTAGTTGAATCCCCAATCGTATGGGTTCTTCGGCTCAGGACTCATAATTGTACTGGCATCAGATAAGTTCTGCTATAAGCTAATTATATACCTAGGTTTGCGTTAACGTCGTTTTTGTGTTGTTATGCAATTTAATTCATCTACCCTCAAAACTGCAACACATCTTACGTATCATGTACATGTACGCAAATATCATATTTCCTAAATGTACCGTTATATACATATCAGGTTATGAAAGTAGAATCCCCATTCTATTACTTCATGGCTATTGGGCATGCTATTTTTAATGATCTTTAAGAAATGTCTAGACATACATCCATACTGTTTCTTGACCACCAATAAGATAAATATCAAGGTTTTCAGGTTTTCAGGTTTTCTAAATCTACATCAGTTGATCGTTGCAGAATTCACTAATTTCATTCAAAACTTAGCATTTTAACTTGGAGAACTTGGGGTAGTGGTTCATACATTTTTATTTTTGTGTACTCATTTCAAAAATATGTTTATAATTATTATTTACTGCCATAAACACCGATATGACATTGTATGACACCAATATGACATAGTATTTGGATAGTGAATGGGTAAGACACTTTATGTACTTTACTATGCATCAAATGCATACACTTATCATTTATCAAACATAACTAGGATAGTAATGAAAACCATACATTTAAGGAACATGCCAAAAGGGAATATTTCCTGAATCTGACAGCCTTCAATCAGAAAACTTGTACATTGAGTATCATAGAAGTGCAGTGTCCACTTACTCCCCCATATCACAATTACTACATTGTTTTAATTATTTTTTGTAACGTTTTGGTGTAACTCATTGAAAAAACAGCAACGACATACATTTCGTGATAATGACATCACCTAAGTATTTATTACAGGTTATGTACACTCCCTGTTGCTTGATTTATTGCAAAAATATTGACACACTGATGATGTTGCGCCTTCTTAAATGGATCTCAGTGCATCACTTCAAAAAAAATTCATAGAATACCATTACAGATTTTACCATGCCATGCGGTGAAAACACATTTTTGTTTTGCCATATTGACTTGATTAATCCCACACCTGTAAGGTCTATAGAAATGTCAGATATCACAGGGTCAAGCTGAATTAGTCATCCTTTTTATTGAGAGATGATTCACTATTTTTTGAAGTTTATTGTGATCAAGAGCTTCAAATTGTAAAACTCCAAAATCAGATGACTATATTATAAAGTATGTAATTGAATAATCATTTTTTTGTTTAAGAGTCCTTTAGAATGATGCCAACTTGAACATGTATATGTAATTCCAGGGTCGTCCAAATCAACATATTTTACTAACTCGTGAAGGAATTCAGGGAAATGTTGAATGGCCAAAAGACATCCGGTTGGTCGAGGGGGAGTGGGGAACAGTGTGGAAGGGAAATCTCAACCTTCATCATCAAGGAAAATGGCGTCATGTCTGTACAGCAAACAGAAAGTAAGTATTCCAACAATCAAAGTTAATAATTATGTAATTAAAGGGGCTCAGTGCCTTAGATTGATCTGAAAATATTTCTAAAAATAAAACTATCTGTAGCTTGTAACATTACTAGATGTTGATACAAAAATATCTGTTTATATGCTTCAGTTCAATAATTTACTAGATGTAGAAAGTGAATAAATCATTTTAGTATTAGGCTATCAAATAATACTTCTTTTTAAATCAAATATATTTAACAAGATACATTCTAAAATAAATGGAAATTCAGTTTAACTAGAAATGATCACAATATCTGTATATTACTAGCATGAGTTGATAAATGAAAAATATACCACATACAAGCATTATACTGATAAGGCATGAATTAGTGTCCAAGGTTCACCACAACACATACTCTAGATAATACAATTTGTACAGTTTATTTTTTCTTAATCTGAAAGCAACAAAATGTTGATTTCTATTTTTCTGTCTAATTGTAACTTTTGCATACAGGTGCTTGTGGGCTATTGTCAGTGGATGGAACATTTTAGGGGTTAATTTTTGGGTTTAAAGTGAATATTTCACTGACAATAACATAAACTTAATTCCTAAATATTTGCTTTTGAATTGATAGAAACCATGGTCAAGAACCAATTTGTAACAGACTCCTCTCTTTTAAGTGATAATACCTTAAAACCTGTATATTCTAATATTTTATATCCCTTAGCATTTCTGCAAATATCATGAATTTATATTATTACATTAGCCTATACATTTGTATCCGCTGCTATGTCAGTTTCTAATAATTTCAATGTCAAATTGTGGTTCTGTGGTTGAAGAATGCAAATTTTGTTTGTTTTAGATCTCAAATCTATTGCAATTTTAATCATTATTTTTATTTCATAGCTGGACCCAAATTGATGTGAATACAACCTGCCACCATCTTGGATTTCTGACCGGTAACTTCACATTTGAAGAGCTTGCTCGCAATGACACTGTTTACATGCAGTATGAGCAGCCTAACTGTACTGGATCTGAGGCCAATCTTTTCCAATGTCCTGGGGCAAGGAACATCAAACTTGGAGGAAGAATATGTGGTAAGAGGGCTTTACTGTAAACACCTCTCTTGTGAACACCTTTGTCTAGTGAACACCTATTGTCTGCACACTCCCTGAGCTCTAGTGAACACCTACCTACAATGAACATATTTTGTGGCTCCATTGGCGTTCACTGTACATAAGTTTTACTGTATACGAATTGTTATGTTCATGAAAGGGAAGGTGGGTAGTTTCAGTGTGGCCACTTTAAATATGTCCCTTTCTCAAGTCATTGGGACTAGTCTCTCATCCCACCTCCCACTATCAATCAATCTTTTCTGATAAAATATTTCTTAAGATGAAGTGAGCATACTTTATGTCTCTATTTACAACAAAATATATTTTAATAAACTAAACAAAATTGAATGTCTTGTCACATTTCAGAAAACCAAGAGATAGTTGGCATAGAGTGTATAGGACTGGCTAATAATGTTGCCACCGATTTCTGGAAAGGTATCGAGTTTTGGAACTCAACTACGATCCGCCACGAGATTACACAAAGAAACATTTACAACGAGTCAGCATCAGTGATGGAGTATGTGGATATTCGTTACGCAGGAATGGAATATGATGATTACTTCAAGAGAATTAATAAAGAGGGTGTCAGGATCAGAAATCCTATTGCATCAGTACGTGCGGCACCAAGGGCCCCAAAGATGAACCACGTTACTGTAAAATTTAGTGCATTAGATGGCATGAACCTTTCATCTGTTGTTACATCCTCTCAAGTAGACCATTCAGAGGTGTCTGAAAATAGAGGTAATGCCTCAATTTCATTTGATCTACGGCAAATGCATACATTGGCTGTAGCTTCCCAAAATCGAGTGAAACATGCAGTTTAAAATATAGGGACAAGCACTTCAATGTAGTTTTTCTATATCGATTTTGGGAAGCTACGTCCACTGTACATCCGCCGTAGAGCAAATTTAATTTAGGCTTCAATAGAATAATATGATGAATGATTTCTTAGTTTTGCAATAGAATTGGTTTATTTAATATAGGATTAGACCCACTTCCTTTTATAATGATCATTTAACTAAAGTCATGTTTCGTATAAATGTGATTTTTATTGACTAATTAATTCTTTCCATTAAATTAACACTTTAATATATGACCCTGTCCATGAATACAGATGAAAAGTGAAATTTAGCATATTTGCATCCAGGTCATGGTTTAGTGGTGAGGTCTCGCATTGGCAGAGTACAAGTAAACGGTGGCAGTTTTCACCATAACTCTGGAGATGGAATCCGTGTAAAAATGATGGATGAGAAATATTTTCTGTATGGACAGTATCATGAAGGGTTTTGTCGGGCAGCATCACTTCGAAGCCAGGCCTATCCAGTTCAGATTACTGGGGTCCCTGATTTAAGTTCCCCATGCGTTAGGGTAAGACTTCAGATCTTTTCTATATGTGTTCAAGTGTAAGTGAAACACCTCTGGTACCCCAAAATAGTGTTCCACTTGGGAGGTGTTCCACTTACAGAGGTTCCATTTCACATAAAGTTAATCAGTAACAGAACTCAGATGTTGCACATAAAGAGGTATGGAGAGTATGCAGCCAAAAATTGGAATCAATTCTAAGACATTTGGATCCTCTTCTGGGGATTTGTATCCTCTTCGTGGATTTGAATCCTCTTCTTTGGATTTGAATTACATGAGCTTCTAGTGTTGATTCACTAAATGATATAATATTCATTGGACTCCTTATTTTGTTTATGATCGTTAGAGATATGAAACACAACGTGGTCACATCCTCAGTTTGGTTGTCTTGGAGATGGACCGTGAAAACAGGGAGGATATAGAGGGATGGCTTGAGGTACGAGATGGGGAGTTCTCAACTGCTCGTCTCCTAATGCGTGTGAAGATTCTTAATGGAACCATGCCTCAGGGAATAACAACATCTACTGAGTACATGTGGCTTCAATTCAGGTACTTGGAGCATTGTCTCAATAAAATTTTCACCTGGATTTCTTACAAGTTGCAACAGTATAACCAATGGTGATATACTGATTGTTCATTCAATATACTCTAGATTATCACGAAGACAAAATCCATTTTATGCTTTACAAAAAGTGTACTTAATACAAGGAGTAATTCATGTACATTGTTTGTCAGTTAGATTTCTATATGAGGTATTTTTTGCAGGTGGAAGGCCAAAAGTCATTTAAACTGTGTGAAGCTGGAATCATGTTTGAAGTTCACAGTGCGTATTGAAAGCATTCCTACTTCTTCCACATCTGGACCTTATAAGGGACCAGGTAAGATACACCATTATTGTCAGTATATCTGAAGATGAAATTTGACATCACACGGGTTAGTTAGATAGTTGGGAGAACAATTAATGGCAACTTTTTGACACTTTTTTAAGAAAAATGGTTTAAGCTGATGGTGATTTCTTTTTGCATTTTCCAAGCAAGATCATAATGGATTATCTTGTTCTTTTTTATGCCTCAATTATACGTCATATACATTTGAGAATAACAGAAGTCTTCTGATAGCATTGACAGTCAATTTGACAAATGTAATATATTGATAACTTCATTAGTTAAAAGTTGTATTTAGATGGTTCAGTTATTGTCAATGAACAAGACATGCATGACTAATTATACACCATTAATGTATAATATATTTATATGATTTTTCAGAAGCGGATGCTGAAATTAGAATCAATACCACCACAGCGCACAACAATACTGGACATGGGATATATGTAGAGAATGTGAGGAATTATGTATTTGTTAACCACTCTGTCGTCAGCGACAATCAATACGAGGCAGGGCTACGTGTTTATGGAGGTGCGGGGGATGTCCATGTTAATCACAGCATCTTTGAACGCAATGAAGAGAGTGGAGTCAACATTACATACACTGGGGGATACAGGATTTTCAATCACTCGACTGTCAGCAATAACAAAGGAGATGGGATATATATAAGACTGAATGAGACAATGAAAGTTGAGAATCGGTCACGATTTGAGAAAATTCAACGAACTGAGATATTTCACTGTCGTATTGAGAATAACAATGGAATGGGCGTCATGGTTGGGAATTATTGCCTGACTCCATCTATAGTTCACCATCGAATGCCAAACGAAGAAGTTAAAATTGATGAGATCGGATTGACAGTGATTAACGAGACAGATATACATGGTAATAGACTGCTGGGTATCGATTTCGAATCTTGTTGGAGGAGCGATTCGTCTAATGTCAACTTTACTGTTGGATACAGTCGTTTTTCAAACAATGGACGTCTGGCTATCAGAGGAGCTCCTATGCTTCATGTTGTTGGAAGAATTGGAAATAACACTTTCAGAGATCATACTGTAGGTGTACTCTTGTTAAACAATGGAGATGATCCAGTATGGCGTCGGATCTATCAAAATATGAATGTGAACTACTCTTTGAGCAGTAATATATTCGAACGTAACAGTGGACGGTATGTTGTGAATTTACAAATGACTAAAGAAAGTGGACAACAAGTTCTGGAGTTTAAACATAATTATTTAGATGGTAATACAATAAATCTGACATTTCCTGGGTTGAATGCAAGATCCAGGAGCAATGCGGTTGCCGTTGTTTCATCCAATAATGTCATCTTCCAAAACAATCACATGGTAAACCCGTCATCTTTATTTGAATTCTCAACACACTTGGTAGACCATACTCTCCAAGTCACAGTCAACAAGAACTGGTGGGGCACCACAGAGTATAGTCAGATTGCCGGACGTTTGTTCGACTACAACCATAGATACGATCTTGCACGCTTGGTGTACGACCCTGTTCTACTAACCAGTAACATATATGGCGATAAATACACTGACACATTTCCAAAATTCGAGGAAGAATTCCAAAGACCTGGCACTATGATTATAGGTGGCCGATTAGGAGGGCAGTCGTGGAGTGGAGTGATAGGTGGTACATACACTGTTGATAAGGATATCCACATTGAGCGAGATGGTGCTATGAATTTGAAACCTGGTGTTACCTTACTATTTCCAAATTCAATAGGTATTCTAGTAGAAGGGGAGTTGATGACTCGAGATAGTCCTAATAGTCCTAGTTTGTTTACACTGGGAGAGGAGCCTGAGACATGGATTAACGACACTCATGTCCGTATTGGGCGGCAATGGGGAAGCAGTGAGGGACTACTTGAAGTTTACAAAGATGGACAATGGGGAACTGTTTGTAATGTGGTAAGAGTTTCTTCAAAACTCAATTTAGTTCCTTAAATCTTATCAGTCTTGTCTTTGAATAAACTCAGCTCCACCACATTCACTTAATACATTAAAATTCATGGGAAAATGTCTTGTAAACCATCATGATTCAATAAATGAAAATACTCCTTGTTGGGCTGTTAGGCAGATTTATTTCAGAATTGTTCAGAATGATTTCAGTCTATAAAATTTATGAGCCATTCAAATTGAATGAATACTGGCTACTCTGGATTTATTCATCACATATTCCCTTGCTTTTCATGATATTTAGATCTCAAGGATATATCCCAGAATATTGATCTTACATCCATATAATTTCCAATTCTAGGGCTGGAACATGGCTAATGCTGCCCTAGTGTGCCAGATGATGGGATACACGGTGCATCCAGATTCATGGCTGCCTCAGCAAACACAGCGGGGAGACCCAGGCCAGCCTATATGGCTGTCCAATGTTTACTGCGACGAGATGGACTCCGATATCATGCAGTGTAGGGCAGACCAGCTGGAAGATCACTCCTGTGATCATTCCATGGACGTCAATGTGAAATGTGTCCCAGTAACATGGGCAGGTTAGTGGTGTAAAAAGATTTTACATGCCAATAATTCAGTTGTGTTGCATTTAGTCTTGCAGATATTTTTAATAATGCAATTTTTTAAAAATTCTTCAAATTAAATAGGGATTTTCAAGTTCTTATATACAGGAGGAAATATTTAAATATGCTCTGATCCATGCATATAAATAAGGGTTATGTACTTGGAGGTTTTGGATATGGGGTTTATCCAGAGGGAGATATGCATATCTACCTGAGGGACCGTAGGGACCGAAGGTAGATGTGCACATCTCACGAGGGATGAACCCAATATCCAAACCGACCGTACATAACTGCTTTATCCTATACCAAGTAGAGTTTTCAGGGGCATATGGCCATTTCAATAGTACAAAGTGTAAAAATAAAAAAATCATTCATATGCAAAGTCATTTAATTGCATTACCGGAAGCGGGAAGATATGCACCTAAGCGGGAGATATGGCGGGAGATATGGAGGTTCTGGATATGGAAACCTCAAAATCAGGATACGGGATATATCTTACCAACTTATCTCCCTAAAACTCTACTTGGCATAGGATAAATAAAATATATTTAGGCCTTATCTTTATGTTATATATTTTTGTCTAAGTTTTGGGTTGTTTTGTCTCAGTTTAAGCACTAGTAGTCTTAGCATCATATTTTTATACCGCTCAACCTACATTACGAAAAGTTTGTGCACTTCACACCATATTAGTTGTGATCATCACAATTTATATATTGCAGTTTATCAAATCATTATAGTAAGAATTACCGCTATGTATATTTATAGCAATACATGTATTTCAATAACATGATCTCATAGTGGATTTATGCAGTCACCAAACAAATAAATACTTAATACATTGTATGGTTTATCTTTAGGTGTGAGAATAACAATGGCACAGGTTCAACGTCCCAGCATACTTCGTCATCTCACCATTGAAAAGTTTGGCTTACTTGACCCTGCAGTGGCCAAGTATGCCCCTGGGCTACAGGTAGACTACAATTTCCATACCCTAGAGCATCTCAAAATTAGACAGGGTAACTCAGCAGGAATGCAGATATTCCGGAACTTTCCATACGGAGCACATAGTGTTCAGCACTTAAATATTGAGAATAATATTGGAAGTGGACTAATCACTCGGAGTCCCTGGATTAAAGTTAAATTCTGTAATTTTATTGGGAATACCCGCGCTGGTCTGGAATATGATCCATCATTTAAAGAGCAGGACGCTTGGCAGGTTAGAAGCTGGATGAAGGACCCCATTTATATAGAGCGCTCCACTAGTTCACTTTATGTACCTGGTATTAATCAGAATCAGGGTGGATTCAAGTATCTTTTTACTAGGCGAACATATGAACCAGATTTGTATGATTATTGGGTAGAGGTCCGCACAGACACATATCCAAAATTCATTTTGTCAGTTGAACTACTAGACTATAACCCAGACACACATATGGAGAATTTAACATTTTATGATAGTCAGCGAATTAATTACCTCACAGCTCGTAAATGGGAGGTTGAACGGGATCTGGTGGACTTCCCATTACTCTCCAGTGGCCCATATATTACTATTAACTGGAAGACTCATGGAATTGTCTCTGGCCGCCTGTCTATGATCATTCGCTCACGTAAGTAAATGAAACAATATTTTCACCAAGGATAGGGAACCATCATGAGCCTGTACTCCCATTATCTTGCATGTAAAAAATTCAGAAATTATGTGATATACAGTAACACTTATTCTCATTTTCACCTCAAATTTTCTAACCTGTACAATTTTCTCATTTTGGTAATAATTGTGACTTAAAGTCGTAAAACATGTTTCAGTTAGTTGTTCTGCATGGCCATTATCAAAAAGTAGTATAATTTTTCTGTTTTAAGGGCCATTACATTCTCGAAGGGTGTATCCAAATCTAGACGTTGAGAATTCTACGATGGCAGGAAACAACCAAGGAATAGTGACAAAACACTACAATAGTCCATCTAATGAATTCTATGATTTATTTATCCGATACTACTGGGAGGAAATTCGCATGTATGGTTTGACTATTAGAGACAATGTTGAAGATGCTATGTTTATTCCGAGTATCACAAAGTATCACCAGTATTACATGCCTGATTGGCGTACGGAAGCGGCTGCCCCGGAGCGTTTGGCAGATATCTGGTACACCTTAGAAAGTTGTGAAATATTCAGGAATGGGAAAGGGATACATGCAGAGCACAATCATGTTGAGTTCACTAATAACGCATGGCATTGGGAAATTATGGCAGTTCATGTGTACAATAACAGGGAGGGTGGATACATCATAGAATTGCCAAAAATCAACAGCGACCAGATTGATCGATATGAATTCAGCAATCACACAGTGAATGTGAATGACAGTATCTTTGAGAATAATGAGCGATTTGCATTTGTGGTCCATGGATTTTACTGCAATGGTACCCTGTATAATAACATATTTAGGAATAATGTGGCTCTCAAGGGAATTTTTACAATCTCTGGTATGGAGAAAGACCTTGAAGTAGAGTACAATTATTTCTATGACAACACAGGAAAATATGTTGTTCAGTATGACATCTCTAGTCATAACGATTATTCAGTGGGATGGTACTGGTATAACCCATATTTCATGTATAATGACTTGAAAAGGAACAAGCCTTTCTCTAATAGCAACCCTGATAATATATACAGTCCTGAGAGTTACACAATGGCCGTCATAGGTGTGCAGAATATCACTGTTAACAGGAATTTATTCGGAAATAGCATGGCATTTGAGATCGTTGCTGGGGTATCTTCATCTTCCCTCCTGAATTATTTAGATGTCAGGGAGAATTATTGGGGAACAAGGGATCAGATGGCCATCAGAAACAGACTGTTTGATTTTGATCATTGGAATAGTTTTGCGATTGCGGAGTATTATCCATATCTCATAGATAACAAATTTGATTCCTTGTTATCCACTGGAGGCAAGATTGAAGTTGAGTTAGATATTAATAAACCATTAGGAGGTCGTGTGAAAAAATCGTTAACATTGACCCGCAAATCTGTACCATATGTGGTTGTAGCAGACCTGACTGTCATGCCTGGTGCAATCCTGGCTCTTGAACCAGGAGTAAAGATCACATTTGCCCCTCACGTTGGAATCCTCGTCCTGGGTACCCTGGTTGCTAGGGGAGATTTCCACCGTAGGATAGAATTTAGTCCTATGGAACCAGGAAGTGGGAGGATGAAACGACAATCGGGTGCTCCTACCTCACTTTCACATATGATTCGCTTACATGGAGGTGAAAGACCTAACGAGGGTTTTGTTGAGTTATTTAATAAAACAACTAACAGATGGAATATTGTTTGTGACCAAAACTGGAATGAAAAAACTGCAGAAGTGGCATGCCGTGATCTTGGATTCGAATCCCAAAATGTGCATATTAGACGAACCAAACACTATGATGCTTTTGTCCATGGATTCTATCCAACTATATTCCGCAAGTATTTCTGGGAAAGTACATTTTTCTGTGACGGTACAGAAACGAGCCTTGATCAATGTAATAGAAAGATGAACTACCACCTAGCACAATGTATCAACGACAGACAGTATGTGTTCATGAGATGCGAAGAAAGAAACTTACCGCAGGGCTACCAGTATTGGGGAAATATACGCTTCTCATCCTATCACTTTGAATGGTATGTTCAATTGTTATGTTGCACAGAACAACGAACCTTTTTTACTAATCAAATAACTCGAATAATGCTGGAAATGTTAAAATGGAAATGTTGTAAAGCTGTATTGAGATAGTATTAGTTTCTTATTGTATTAACCTATGATGATTTGTAAGGTGTTCTGGCTCTGTTAAATTCCTCAATTTCTGGTTGTACTGTGATCACACAATTATACTCAAATTATGTTGATGGATGTGTCATTCTGTGTTATGTATTACAGGTACAAAGAGGATGATGTTGAAGATTGTGACAAGTCAGGTGACTGCACAAAGAATGACTGCTCTGTGCTGGAATATGTCACAATTACTGGTGCGGGGATGTTACATGGTGAAAAAGCTGCTGCTGTCCAAACAGCCTACCAGACCCCAGAGAGTAATCATGTGACCATACAGCAGTCACTGTGGAATGGCTATGATTTCATAGCCCCTCGTTGTCCCTACAGAGTGGCCCATAACCATCTGAATGATAACCTTGGGTATGCTGTTGGTGCACTCGTGCTGAATGGGGAAACAAGCGACCGGAGAGAATCTTCATTTTTTCCCTTGAGTATGAATAATCTACCTTACAATACATATGGCCTTGTCCGTATATGCACATCTGAGAGGCGTATAGAAGTCCAAAACAGAGTGCTCTTGTACTACAAATATGACTTCCGTCCAGTGGATTGTGTGAAAGTCCTTAAGAGCAAGGCTAGAAACAAGCGTATTGCAATACGCTTCCTGCAGCTTAATGTATTCAATGATACATTTGACAAGAACAATATTGAAATATTCAATGGAGAGTACTTTGATAATACTGAACTCCTTGCTTCTATTGATGCTGGGAATCAACTCAAAATGGGACGGATGCGCTTCGAGTCCAGTGATGTAGTTGAGGTATGTATGGTTTTTTATTGCACTTTAAAAAAGTGTTATATTGTGGTTGTCTTGTGCTGATGGATGTACAGTTACATTGTAGAGTAGTCGCTGCATGCTGCTAACACTACTAGAACATTATAAACGCTCCAGCAGTAGTGGGAAAAATGGGATAAGAAAAAGGAATGGATGATGTTACAAATGGATATGCATTTTGTATGCACAATTGTATGTTTGATTAGCTAATAACACAACAGTGTTCTGAGGGAACAATGAGCAATACTGTACTCTCGACTAATATGCGAATTTTGAGAAAACACAATTTCGCGGCTATAAAATTTCGCGAATTTTATTAAGTACACCTACTACTCTGTCATCTTGGTTAAGGACACATTGCACCTTAACCTCTATTTCATTATAATTTTTTAGGTTTATTTGATCTAAAGTCACTTTAACAGACATTGTTACTTAGTATCCCATTTATCGCCTAAAAACACTTGACAAACGTTTTAAAAAGCATGAAAAGCAATGGAGTCTCAGGTAATGAAAATTTTCACAAATCCCAAGGATTTGATTGACAATTTCGCGAAGATTAACTTTTGCGATTTTACCACATTGAAACTAAATCGCACACGCAAAATACCAGGAGTACAGTAATTTTTTTCATTGGGATATTTTGTGTCAAGCTTTAAGTCTAACATAAAAACATATTTTCTTTGTCAGTAGAAACATGAGATAACCAACTTGAATATACATGTTTCATATTGCTTCCTGTGTTAGAATGTTTTAATTTTTTGGTAGACTGACAGATGGGGTCAGCGTTATGTGAGTGAGGCCATCTCTGTTCACATGCATGCTTCAGCTGCTCACGGCAACTATGGATTTATTGCAGAGGTGACATCTTTACCACAGGCCGTTCCTGGAAACAGTAAGTAATAGACATCTTTTGATCCATCAGAGAAACCACAATATATTGGCTAGATTGATGATGTTATAGGTTGTACTTTTATAAAATTAGCAAAAAGTTAATACCATTTTTGAATAGGCAGTTTGCTACCTACAACCAATGACATCATCAATTCACCCAATAAGTTATAGTTTCCCTGATGGATCAAAACATGGCACGATTTATCGGAAACGTCTATTCTACATGCAGATGCCACTTTAGATATCATGTATTTGACCGAGGCTTTGAATTTATAGATCATGGTTATTATGTTAAATTCTCAGATGAGATGCGCTTAAAAATGTTAATACATTTTGAAATACTGCTGATGGCCTCGCACATCAACTTAAATAACCTACAAATAATTTAAGACTGAAACAATGTGATAATGAAATAAAAAAATTCTTTATCAGTAAGAAGAAATTATTATATTCTTGTGTCAACCATTTAGCTATGTACAACTGAACAATTAAAGTTGATAACACAGTGTAATAAAAAAACTTATTTCAGATGCTGAACATCGTCATGTCGTGTACAACACAACCATCACAAAGAACCAGCGTGGAGGCATCCACTATATGAACGTTGGTGAAATAACTCCATCTATGATCGTAGATAACTGTCGATTACAAAACAATGGGCTAGCCATGAGAAATCTCTCATCAGAACCTGTCATATATGGATTTGTACAGAACTCAATTGGTTTCACAATTACGAATAATTATATGTCATTCAACAAAGGAGGAGTGAATATTGAGACTACAACAGTGTCTGCTGGTTCTGCATTGTCTGCTAATATTTCCAATAATGTGATGAGCTTTAACACACATGGAGAAGTCCTCCATGTTATTGGTATGTATATACATTTATCTAACTTTGACACTCTCGTGACTCTGTGTATCCATTAGTGGGCACTGGTTAGAATCATTGGTTGGGATATCTTTTCACTAATGAAATCTGTCATAATTGCTTTTGACAATTGAACACAATTCCTATTCCCAAATCAGGGTTATCGGCATATTTTATTCGGCTTCATTCAAATATTACTATTTTTGGCAAAAGGAGTCTGCAAAGGTGCCGCAAAAGCAATGAATGAAGAAATATAATCGGATTAGCTAATTAAGCAAATCCACCTAATTAAGCTAATTAGGCAAATTTAATTAGCCTATAAAAGCTTATTCCTTAAAGTAAGGTTGAAATAACTCATTTAAATGGTAAATGCTTAACATACTTACAAAAAATGCTGGTCAGTTGTATTTAAATACTAAACCTGATGAGGTGATAGGGGCTGGGTAGGTGGGTTTTTGCAATGCTGCTTGACGGTTTGCTGGCTCTAGCTAGTCTAACTGAAGTTCTAACATAATTCTGTGCCTATGTTCTGATGCCTTCATCGCAAATTACCTATATAACTACATATTAGCTAATTGGTATACTGCAAGTAAATTCAAGCATGAATAAAACTCTGCATATTGTAAGCTTAATTAACTAAAGGTCAGCATTGGGCACTGGCCTAAGAGAGATAAATAAAACTTAAAGGACCTGTCCAATTTTATATGCCATTTTAAGCAAAACAAGCTTAAGCTTTAAGGCACCAATTTCAAACTCCTTTTCAATGCTTTTAACTTCATTCAGTTCATAAATCAAATTATTTCATAATTTTCATAAATATAAAATAAGGTGAATGAGGTATGTTGATAAAAACAATACTATATAACCATATTTATCCTATGCCAAGTAGAGTTTTTAGGGAGATAAGTTGGTAAGATATATCCTGTATCCTGATTTTGAGGTTTCCATATCCAGAACCTCCATATCTCCCACCATATCTCTCGCTTCGGTACATATCCTCCCGTTTCCGGGGCATATCTTCCCGCTTCCGGTAATGCAATAAAATGACTTTGCATATGAATGATTTGTTTATTTTTACACCTTGTACTATTGAAATGGCCATATGCCCCTGAAAACTCTACTTGGTATAGGATAAAGCAGTTATGTACAGTCGGTTTGGATATTCATCCCTCGTGAGATATGCACATAGACCTTTGGTCCCTCAGGTAGATATGCATATCTCCCTCTGGATAAACCCCATATCCAAAACCTCCCAGTACATAACCCTTATATATCTCATTTTTTTGTATTCCAGGTCACCACTATCAGAGATTCAATGTGTATGGAAACATGTTCTCCCACAATGATGTTGAATACAGGAACCTTACTGCCTTCTTTGGTGTCATTGTCAATGCTACAAGTAATACATTCTGGAACAATACAGCTGGTGTTATCGTCAACTCATCCTCAATTGAGACTGTGGAAGATCCCCATAGGTAAATCATTGAAGTTTACTTTTGAGATTTTGGAAGATGGATCTCACTAAGTATCAGTAAAACATCAACTTTCCTCAATTGAGAATGTGGAAGAGCCCCATAGGTAAATCACTGATGTTTACTTTTGAGATTTTGGAAGGTGGATCTCACTAAGTATCAGTAAAACATCAACTTTCCTCAATTGAGAATGTGGAAGAGCCCCATAGGTAAATCACTGATGTTTACTTTTGAGATTTTGGAAGGTGGATCCCACTAAGTATTAGTAAAATATCAACTCATCCTCCATTGAGACTGTGGAAGATCCCCATAGGTAAATCATTGATGTTTACTTTTGAGATTTTGGAAGATGGATCTCACTAAGTATCAGTAAAACATCAACTTTCCTCAATTGAGAATGTGGAAGATCCCCATAGGTAAATCATTAAAGTTTACTTTTGAGATTTTGGAAGGTGGATCTCACTAAGTATCAGTAAAACATCAACTTTCCTCAATTGAGAATGTGAAAGAGCCCCATAGGTAAATCACTGATGTTTACTTTTGAGATTTTGGAAGGTGGATCTCACTAAGTACCAGTAAAACATCAACTTTCCTCAATTGAGAATGTGGAAGAGCCCCATAGGTAAATCACTGATGTTTACTTTTGAGATTTTGGAAGGTGGATCCCACTTAGTACTGGTAAGGCTGTGGTGCAATCTTTTGATAAAGTTGCAAAGATTCTCAAGGCCTTCGGGAAACTATTGAGAAGATTGTATCTTTGGCTAGTATCGATATTGTTTACATAAGTGTTTGTAAGACTGCTAATATAGCTTTCAAAAAGTCCATATGTGCTCTGCTCGTCTAAAACACATATTATTGAAAAATGGCTATGACTACAGGTGAAAATTCAGTGAAATGTATCAAACTGCTAATGGAGCTATTGAAGCAACTGCATTTCTGCACCTCCCATATTGTATATGAGAAATATATGAATGATACAAATACAAGAATGTGTGGCTCTATTTTAGATTCCAGTATAACTCCATGTACCGTAACAGAGCGCTTGGTCCATGGTTCCGTACTACTGTATATTGTGCCAGCTCCAGAGCAAGGCTGCACCATAACTACCTTGTAAACGAGATGAACTTTCATGAACTTGTCACTGGGAATAGAACCAGGTAAAGGGCATTAAAATACTGTTTAAAAACCTTTATAATACTTGTAAGTATACTTGATTAGCAGTCTCCAACTTCTTTATGGATGGAAGTCAGCGGTTGGTGTTCAGTGGTCAGTATCTGTAACAAATTGCAGGTTGTGACATTTTGCATGTTAAAGCCTCATATTAATGAGGATATTATCTGCACTATACTCTGGATAACGACTTTCAGGCAATACTGTCCAGATATTACCAAATGGGAGGAATGTGAGAAGAACTACCCCACGGTGGATGCATCCAACAACTGGTGGGGACATCATCTGAGGGTGGCGGTTAGTGGACGCATATGGGAGAGGCAGGATGATGATAATCTAGTCAGGGTATGTTGTGTTATTGTTGCTGTCATGTTATGACATTTTTTCTCACACAAGGAATACTTTTTACAAGGTGTTGGCTTACAAATCAATCATAGAACTCACTGAGCTGTTCAAAGATCCAAATATTGTTACTCAAGCCACCATCCAAATAAACTACACATTTTATTTGGAATACTCCACAATATTTAAAGGCAGAATCTGATCTATAGGGGGTGACAAAATGACAAGCAACATGTATAATTGACTTACCAATCTATTCCTTACAATATCAAATACAATATCTCCCAAAAGATTCACAATATGTTATAAATTGGTGAAGTTATTAATGATTCAAAGTGTAAAAATGAGTAAAAAATGTTTCAATTCTCCCAAATAATAAGAATGGTAACCATTCTTATAGAAAAATAATACATTATTGTAAAAAACTTTAGTTTACCTGGAATAAAGTATGCACTTTTGTGATTTTTAGAAAATAGAAATGACAAGGAATGACATGAGCCAGAAATATTCTAAAATTGAAACAATTTTTTGCCTGCTCGCTATATCTGATTCTCTCTTTAAATGCATGCTTAGTATGATATGTATCTGATGGAAACAAAAAGATTCAAAACAGGAATTTCTCATATACAGGTCCAGTTTGAGCCATTTTACTCAACAAATCAGAGTTTACTGGATGGTAGATGTTCCCCTGGGTGGACGTTACACAAGGAGCGCTGCTATAAGTACTTTGGTGGAGCCGTGCCCTGGGATGATGCACGGCTACATTGCGCTGTAAGTACAGGACAGAATACACATCATAGTGTGACAACTCAGTTGGCCTAACTCACATTTTTGATTTTCTGATGTAACACCAAAGGTGAATGGTGACGTCTATGTTGCTTTCTCTTGAAAAAGTCCCAATTTTTGGTACAAGAATATTCAACCTACATAATAGTATTGAAATATAGAATTCATAAAGTTTGTATTTTTTGTGTAAGGCTCGTGTGACAATTGAGGAGAAGAAGTGATAGACATACATGTTTATACATATTTTGTTCACCTTTAGATATTGAATTCTCTCATTACAGTAGAAAAAATAAGCATCTGTCTCAACAAAAGTAACTTCAATACATACAATATCTGTTTTTTGAGTTTGACTTAATTCTCCCTTTAATTGTTAAATGACCAAACTGCAAAATAATAGCCAATTCATTGTCTTAAACAGTTGTTATCATTAATTCATCAAACAAGTACAAAGGCTTACATTTTATTCAATTTCACATAAAATTTCAGCTCGAGGGCTCACAGATAGCCTGGGTGAAATACCGTGAAGAGTACCTGACGACCTTTATGAAGGACAGCCAATCATATTACTTCTACTGGAGGAGTGCCTGGGTGTCCAGGGATGATATATGGGCGGGAAGGTGTGCATCGCTACGTAACAATAGGGTGGAAAATGAGTTCTGCCACATTCTGCAGCCATTTATATGTGAAAAAGGTAAAAACCTGAATTGTTAATTGTTTGTTATTATGTCACTACCAGACAGAAGTGGTCCAACCTTTTTGGTGGATGATGTCCAGCAGTTGCCATTCAACAGTTAGCATTCCTCAGTCCATGTCTGTAATAAATTGCAGGTGGTGACATTTTGCATATTAATGCCTTGTAACCTCTTGTTGCTGGCTTCATGATCATGTGATCTCTGATTGGAATTATTGGCCTACTTTAGTTAGTTACTCTCCCTGACAAACTGGTATTTTTCTTAAACCTAAATATTGCATGTTTATTTTAAATGTATTTATTTCTTGATTTATAATTTCAGATCCATACATTGCATCCCAGATGGATTGGCCTTTGGTTGGTGGTCTCATAGGGGGATTTGGATTCATCCTGATTGTTGTGATCATCCTACTTGCGCTGTGGTGCATCAAGTCCAAAGAGAGAAAGAAGCAGCATTTAGAACGGGCAAACTCTCTTAGGTCGTTACGTGGTAGTAGACAGAACATCAATGCTAGTAAAACTACACTCAACACTGTAGATCTAAGTAAATCTGAACCATATAGGAGATCACGTTCTAGACTTTATAGATCTAAGGATTCTTTAGGAACAAGTATGAACAGCATTGATATCATAGGTGCAACTATGGATGAATCAAGTGATGTAGACACTATCAACAAAGCAAAGTTAGATGATGCAGCACGACAGGTTTCCGTAGAGTACCTACCAAAACAAAATGGCAGTAATCCTAGTGATATTTATGCCCCGTCAACAAAGGTTGATAGCAACAGTTACTATGGTAGCGAATATGGCTCACAGGCTCAGTTTCCATATAGACTCGAAAATGAGATAGCAAATATCATGGCTAAGCCAATGTATGATAATGTCTTACAGAATAGATCCTATGACGAAAGAAGTATTGACCGCAGCCATTTACAATTAGAAATGTCACCTCCCCCTACCCCTATGCATCAGCAATCTGCCCCAATCACAGAGGAATCACCTCAATATAATGAACAGCCACCACAGTACACAAAACAACAGACACCTCCACGACCAACTAAAACGAGACCCCCATCAGATGTCCCACCCCCAAGGCCAGATAGACGCCCTAGTGCAGACTTGATTGACTCCCCCTACCAGAATGTATCCATGGACCCACAAGGTCACATGGTATTGCAACAGGGTCCCCCTAGACCTCCTAAGGGGGGAAGGTACAGTAGTGCAGACTCTCTGAATTCTACAGGGGAGAAACCTAAACCTCGGGAAACTGCTATGTAACGAGAGTAGCCATAACAACATACATATTCAGGAGACAGAAATGTTGCTGAACATTAACACAGATGATACCATAGATACAGTTTGTGTCTTAATTTTGACTGACATCATCAACTTTTTATACTACCATGGTAACATGAGTTTAGATATGAGGAATAACCAATGGGCTGCTACTGTTTATATTATACAGTTCTGTCAGTTAATAAAGTATAGTACCTCATAAGATCTATCATGACAACCAAGTGAATATAATGCAAGCAAGGTAACACTTTTACTTAATAAAATCAAAAATGCCATTCAGTTGGTTTCAACATTCAAAATTGCCCTTTTCTAAGGAAAAGTGCTTCTGGGTCCTGACACAATTCAAAAGAACGAAGTCAAATCCAGACTGTTTGCTAATATTCCCCACTCAGGGTTTCTATTCCATGCCTCAATCATCAACCTCTGATCATATGATGTTCCAACATGCATTTCATTCTTGCATTGATTCACACACATCTGCATGTAAATCAGAAAGATTTGTGATAGATAAGCACTTGACTGGTTTGTGATAATCTAAGGAAAGGTGAATTATGGAAAAAGTATCTTAAAGATGTAATTAATGAGCTCTTTGTGGTAAGTGTAATGACATGAATTGTCTGTAAATAGTTCTAAAGTGCCATAGGCTTGTTCAGTGTTTGTTTTATAGTTTATGTGTGCTCGCTATGGATGTGAAATATCAATTTTGTCAAAGAAGCAATTGTGATATAGTACAGTCCACATTGATCCTGACATCTTGTGGATGTCCATGTACATTGTAAAGCGCTGTAAATACAAAATACCACTTTCCAGACGATGTGAGGTTAAATATGTATTGTACTGTATAGGTTCATTACAGGCCTAGAATTATTTTAGTATAGATTTTGTATTGTATGCAGTTAAGCACAAATAATGCTGTAATGCTGCGCTTACCATGTTGCACTTACGCTAACATTGCAATGTATGGATAAGATTACATTTTATATGAAAAATTTAGATCATGTTTTTATTATTTAATTATTTTGAGCTGATCTAGGGTACAAACAACATTGTTACTTTAGGAACTATAACTTGACTATATCATTGAGATTTACTCAAATATCACCAAATAGATGTATATACTTTAATAATACTATAATTTAAAAACATTAAAAAATATCATCTTTAGATTTTAGACTTATCATAAAGAATTTTTCTCATGTTTTGTGATTTTAGTTGTGTGACAGATTTGAATCTTGACACAAAAAGTTTTGACTGATTATAAGTTCATCTTGCCATTTTTCAATTTATTGTATAGAATATGAAAAATACAAACATTCCACAGGAAAACAGCAAGGTTTTAGTATTACAGGTGCATTTATGCTTTGAGATATTGAATAAAAAGTAGACCCTACCACCTTTTGGCATATCAAAGATATATTGGCTAAATTGGTGATGTCATTGGTTGTACATATCAAAATAAGCATAAGTTAATTCAAGAAGTTTTATCTATTTTTGATTGGACAAATTGCAACTTACAGCCAATTACATCATCAATCTAGCCAATATAGCAGAGATTCTTGATGGATCAAGGGTGGCAGGGTTTATTGGAAAGGTGTATAGTGTATAAAAACAGAAGAAGTAAAAGGGTGATGCCTTATAATGATGTCCATCATGTGGTTTTATGAAATGGTTACTGTTAAGGATCTCATCATATTTTTATATAAGAAGTGATTCAGATCTCAGGTGACCCCAGATTTTATTCTTGACAATTTCTCAGAATCCGAGATCTATTAATCCCAATGTATTGTTTTCCTCAAATACAGTTACATGTATCATCATGCTCCATACTAGTTTTAGTAACTATGCCTGTCATTTCAATGAAGACTTGTATTCAGAAACTAGAACTATAAGGAAAATATGTCAATATAACATTGGTCTGGAATAACGCTACATTCCATGTACGTACACAGAGTTTACAATAACATATATAGGGGTTATGCACTGGGAGGTTTTGGATCAGGGAATATCCCGAGGGATATACAATATATCTTCCCGAGGGACCGAAGGGACCGAGGGAAGATGTATTGTATATCCCAAGGGATATTCCATGTATCCAAACCGACCGTGCATAACTGGTGTATCTCATACTTGAGTGGGTTTAGGGTAGATATAACCCTTTCCACCTTTTTCAAATAACATTTTCGTAATATTCTTTTTGTTCAATACAATGAAATTGTAACATTTAAACTTAAAAAAAATTAAATTTTAAAATTAAAAAATTAAAACTTTTGATATTTAAACTTTTTTAAACTTTTGAAAAATTCCCGGGAGCGGGATGGATATATTATATCTGCCCGCATTTGGCCTGGAGCGGGACATATACAATATATCCTGCCCGCTCCTCAGATACGATATATATTCCCGGGTGATATCTACCCCAAACCCACTCAAGTATGAGATACAGCAGGTTATATTTATGATACATTCCCAATAGATGTCTACTGTGACTTGAAATATGTTCTAAGGCAGATATGTTTGTGTGAAGAAATAGCATTATACCAAAGTTACAAATACTAAAAATAGATCATATGTTTTTATTGTACTCTCATTTTATGAAACAGTCAGACAGCTTGTCAGAAATGATTGTTCCATAGATGTATGATGTATGAATTGTGCACATGTACATTTATACATGTATGTAGTAAAACCCGTCCATTTGAATTCTGTTGGAACATCTTATGATCAGAGTTCAACTAAAACAGGTTTTACTGTGCGGTCAATTAGGACACTTGTATATACTGTATAAATCTATGGAGAGGACCAGGAAACTATTCATTGTACCATTCCAGTCTGAATTATTTTAAAATTGAGAAGATTGTACCAAGTATGATTAAAATAATATATATTGGGTATGATAATTGATATATTCAGATTGTGTTATTCTTCTGCATAGCCTGCGACATGTGTGTTGATATGAACAACATTTAATGTGTTCCCTTGTGTTGCGCCAACACTACGGGAAATTGTGACCATGGTGTATGTTTTGAAAATATTGCTTACTTTATCTTAAAAATGACCTTTTTAAACATAAATCAATGTTTGCTAATGTATCTCATATACCATACCATAACATGAAATGTAGCAAATCTATTGATAATATCCAACTCATCAAATAGGATTGCTTTATTATGTCTATATGATTTGTATTCTCCAACATTCTGGTTAAATTAACATTGTTGATGCGCATCATTTGTTGAAAGCTTCACTAGAAAGTGTCCTAATAATACCATTTAAATGTCAGACAGTGAAAACATCAGACAACATATTTTTATTACTTATGTGTTGAATATAGGTTATACTGTCCAATATTTTGTATCCTCCATTTACATTTCAACTATTAATATTTCAGTTATTCACACATCTGATTTCGAATTATTATTTTGATAAATGAAACTAATTCAAAGAAGTATTTAAATGATTGTCAAATCATATGGACATAACGAAACAAACCTATTTTATGAGTAAAAAATACCAAACTACCCTCTTTTGGGAGCTGCTGGTCACACACATACTATATTAACATGTGGAAATTATCAATGGACTTGCCACATTATAAATATATAGATATGTTGTCGGAGTTATATTAGCAAAGTTTGATTTTTTGTTTAAAAAAGTCATCATTAAGCTATTTGTTGGAAAAAGTAAGCAATTATTTTCCATACATATACACTGTGGTCATGATTTCCCATTGTGTTGGCAACAAAATGGAATACATTAAATGTTGTTCATATCAACACACATGTTGCAGGCTATAGAAGTATAACAAAAATATGAATATATCAATTATCATAATGCCCATATGCTGTATTTACAACAGAAACATGCCGAAATATGCATTTCACTTTGTAAACTATTTTAACATGAAGGACTATTTTATATCTGTCTGTATCATTATTACACATGTACATTCCATATTTATCAGATTAACAAAACCAATAAACTGTATATTTAAGAGACAATATAATTATTTTGTATTAGAAATCTGCGATGATGTACAGTAATATAATGTAATGTATGTATTTTAATTAGGGATATTTTTAAATGTGCAGCAAAGTTGCATTTTTATATTTCATCATTTTGTAAAATTAACAACCAAAATGTTTTGTAAATAAAATTTTTATATTTTAGCTTTACAAATATTTGTTGTCTGGTGTAATGGGAGCAGCCAGGATTTGTATAGATGACAGTTAGGTGAATATGGTGACAGGTCACCTCAACCCCAAGTCAGCTCAACCCTGTAAAACTCAACCCCAGTAAAACTCAACCCCAAGTCAACTGGTAACCGAACAATTCATCCCTTAGACAACTCATCCCCGAGGCATTTCATCCCATGGACAACTCATTCTCTGAAGGACTCATCATTTGGCATGTTTGAGTAATATTATGTTATACGATCAATTCATATTTGATATTGAAATGATTTTGAAATGTTTTGGTAAAATATGATCAGTTTTGAGTGAACAAAGACCTTCTGGAGGGGAAATCTGGAAAATTGTTATAAAACTATGAAATTGTCGAGGAGATAATCAACCAATTAATATGTGGTTTGTTTTGTAGATATTTACTTTTTATGTCCCCAGCACATAGTGTGGGGCCATATTGTCGGCCTAGGCGCGTCTGTCTGTCCGTCCGTACGTCCGGCAGTTTCCTCCAAAACCGCTACAGATATCACCTTCAAATTTTCAGGTATAACTTATGAGGGCATACAGATTTGGATGAAAAAATTTCAACTCGGTGCCTAGTTCCTAGTTACCGCGCGATTATACTTTGTATCATATTTGAATGTAGTCTTGCTTAAAATACCCTGTACTCCCCCCCCCCCTTTATCCTTTTCTCTATATTGCCAGGTAAAGAGAGTGAAGGTGACGGGGGGGGGGGGGGGTCTTTGAGCAAGACTAATTTGAATGGTGTTTTTGAGTTTTCATACTTTAATCATTTAGTAGCTTTATAAATAATTTCAGGTGTACTTTGTTGTAAAAGCCTAGGCCTATGTTATTGTTAACAGTAGTCATATGCGATAATTTTGAAAAAAGAAATCAGCAAAAACTCACAATCACTTTTTTATTGTTGGCCATTTTGGATTTTCCGTCCTAAAATCTTGTGTGTAAAGTCTTGTCTACGCGTTTTCAGGTCAACCATTTGGTAGATCAATTTCAAATTTTCAGGGATTATTATTAGTATGAGAATCTAGAACTGATTAGTCTTTTAGCATTCTGGGTAAATGTCAAGGCACCCATTTTGGATTTTCCGTCTTAAAATCTTGTCTGTAAAGTTTTGTCTACGCGTTTTCTGGTTAACTGTTTGACGGATCAATTTCAAATATTCAGGAATGATTCTTAGTATGAAAATCTAAAGCTGACTATTTTTGGATTTACCATCCTAAAATTGTGTTGGTGAAGTCTTGTCAACTCATTTTAGTATAACCATGCATTTGACGGATCAATTTCAAATTTTCAGGAATTTTTAGTATGAAAAATCTAGATCTGGTTAGTTTTTCGGCATTCTGCATAAATTTTAAGTTGGCCATTCTGACTTTTCCGTCCTAAATTCCTGTCTGTGAAGGCTTGTGTACCGATTTTCAGGATAACAGTTCGATTTCAAATTTTAAGGAATGATTTATGATATGAAAATCTAGAACTAATTAGTTTTGGATTAACCGTCCTAAAATTGTGTTGGTGAAGACGCATTGAAACCATAGATATACAGTGCTACGCTCTGTAATGCAGCAGATTTGAGTGACATTTTAAAAGAATGGTCCAAAAATTATCATGACGGATCCAGAAGCTTACAAGAGCACATTTCAAATCATGAAAAAAATTTTCGCGGAAAAAAAATTGATACGGCCCATTTATGATAACATGGTTTAAAAGGCCTGCAAAATATTTGGGCCTAAATATTTTTTGGGCTAAACTAAGTTTTTTCTAGGCCCACCCAACTTGGATCCGCCAGTGTAGTCGGTAGCCTATTCTCAATAACTAGCAAAGCATGGTGCTTTAGTAATCACAAACCAATTTTAGCGATTTTTCTATTAAAAAAACCCTAGAAACGTAGCCTATGAAATGAATAATATATAAGTTGAGCCAGTAAGCTTTGTTCAACTTGTCTATGGATTTTGCATGTCAGTAATGAAGGTCATCACTGAAAGGCTAGTTTTAGTGAAATACGCAGACGTGTTTTTTAAAACCGTTCAAGTTGAACCATATTTAAAAGAAATCTACGTCCAATATTTGTATCCTTTCAATGCAAGCTCTTTTCAACCTTCGTGTATGGATTTTGTATGTCAATAAAGATGCACAAATAGTTGGGGTCAGAAATTTGTAATGACGAGTTACAAATACAAAAAAATCTACATGCGACATGTCAGTAGTTGTTTGGCTAAAGTAGCCTCTTGGCTGGGTATACCTCAATCGATATCAGTGCGAAAAGAATTACGATATTTTTTGCTACGTAAGCTTAAGCGATAGCCATCGAATACATAACCTAACGACGGAACCGTAGGCCTAAGTGATAAATTCCTGTGTAATTAATCTCTTTTTCATTTTATACTGCTTAATATATATATATGTAATATTGTGATAATATATGTTCTGTACTAATATATAGTTTCTTGTAGAAATACATGTACATGGGAATTGTGGATATGTGTTCTACTACTGACATTTTAACACCACATCACATAAAATTACTATGTTTAATGAGAAAAAACAGCACAAAGCACCTAAAAATGTTCCCTTAATTATTGTACAGGTTGTCAGCCATCGGAACGACCGACATTACTATAGAATAATATGGTTTGCCAACCTACCCTATGTATGCACGCGTTGTTTCGTAAATAACACCCGTGCAGACGTAAAATTACGCCCAAGCAGACATAATTTACGCCCGTGTAGGCGTTAATTACGCCCGTTAAGAAGTGAATTCTATACGCGTTAAAACAAATACAGGCGTAAACTAACGGCGTTAATTATGGTTGGCCTATTAGTATAAAGAATGCATGCGTTGTTTACGGGTGTGTAGGCGTTAATTACGCTCGTGCAAATGTTAAATTACGCCCGTATAGACGTAAAATTACACCCGTAAATTATCGGCGTTAAAACTATAAATTGCGCCCGTTAAGACATTTATCTCGGGCGTTGAATAGCCTTTTATGGGCAAAGGGCGTAAATTTGCGCGCGTTGATATATAAAATTTGGACCAATCAGAATCCTGCTTACATTTTAGCGCGTTGCATTGTGGTCCTGAATATTTTTGGGAGTGGTTTTGGGAGTGGTGACTTAGACAATGTCCTGAGACATCACCTGTAGTAAATACGCATATGTCATGCAATCTGTATTAGTGGTGAGAGGTCTCGTTCGGGGGGCCTGGAAGACAAGGTCTAGTAGCTAAGCTTCCCCTAACCACCGTCAGTACTCATGAGACGGGTAGTGTATATTTGGTAGATCCTAGGGTAATGACATTGGTGTGTTATTCCCTATCTTCATTCACGTAGAGAGAGGCCGAACATCCCGATCCTGTAGCGGATCTTTTCCCTTATATGTTGGTCATTATAAAGGCCCAAGATGTTTCGAACTCATGGGGGTATCCCATGATTGTTCTTCCTCAGCGGCCGAATGAATGTTGTATGTGATTTTATTGTGGTTTTATTGTGAATGATAATGCTGTTTTATTGCTATCATTCAGTTGTATTTTAATAGGTTTCCCGTATTCGTTTTTAGCGGGAGGGGGGTGGTTGTTTATGCGTATTGGTTTATTGCATAAAGGCGTGGTCAGTTTATTGATGAATTTTGGTTTGGTTTGTTTTGTGGTTAAGCCCTAATATGGTCATGTATGTTATATGTTGATAATGTGTGTATTTAAAGGGTTGTTGGCTTGTTCATGTTTGGTTGTATTTTGTGGTGTTTTCAATTTGTTGAGTTGGTGTGCATTTGGTTGTGTTATGATGATTCAACAATGGGTTTATTTGACTTTGGTCTCGTTGGCTATGTTGTATTGTGTTGGTTTGTTGTTTGGTTGTGCCAATTGTGTTGCGTATATTTGACAATTGGTTGTGTTTTCGGAAGTTAAAATAGGGTTGTAGTATTGGGTTGTGCCGTATTGGGCTGTTGGCTTGTAGTTGGGTTGTGTCTGGTTGTTTTGTTTTAGACTGTTTTCGAATTGTGCCTCATTGTGTTATGTTAATTTTAAAATGCGTTGTGTTATGTTGTGATTATGTTATGCTGGTCGGGGGGCAGGTTGTGCCCACCCGGGTGAGGTATCTGGTTGAGTCCGATTGTGTTTTGTGGTTGATTGTGCCTGATTGTTAAATGATGGGTGGTGGCGGGTTGTTCCCGGTTATGTTATGATAGGTGGTCGGTTGTGCCTACTCGGGTGAGGTATTTGGTTGTGTTCAGTTGTGTTGTGAGATTGTTGTAATCTCTAGTTCGAGAAAGTTGGTTGTGTGTGTTGAGATTTTAGTTTGGTTGTTCCTGATTGTGTTTTGATACTTTGGTTTTGTTGTGCCAAATTGTGTTGTGATAATTTGACAGTGGGTTGTGCTCTTGGTAGTTGTGAGTTAAGTTGCGTTCTAATTCTTCAGACACTAGTTGTGTTGCGTTATTGGAGATCTTATGGGTTGTGCTTGGTTGTAATGGTTGGTTGTGATAGGTTTCCTAATTGTGTTTTGATAGTTTGGTTTTGTTGTGTGGTTGTGCCAAATTGTGTTGTGACAATTTGACAGTTGGTTGTGCTCTTGGTAGTTGTGTTCTAATTCTTCTGACATTGGTTGTGTTGCGTTGTTGGCGATCTTCTAGGTTGTGCTTGGTTGTAATGGTTGGTTGTGATAGGTCATGTATTGAGTGGCAGGTTATGCCGGATTGTGTTTTGGTGTATCGTGGAGTTTAGATACAAGTTAGTGGTTTGGGGTATTATATTGTAGGTACATATTCGTTAATTCTTGGTAGAGTTAATAGTTCAATGTATTTGTGTACATTATTAGTATATGCAATAGGTTTTGGTACCTATTCATACATAGTGAGATCTCTAGTGTGAGAAGTACACCTGGTATGATGGGCGTTAGCCTTGTGTTGTTCTTTGGTTCTGATGAAGTAGTTTCTAGTTGTTCATTGAATCTCAGAATCTCTCTACGTGAATGAAGATAGGGAATAACACACCAATGTCATTACCCTAGGATCTACCAAATATACACTACCCGTCACATGAGTACTGACGGTGGTTAGGGGAAGCTTAGCTACTAGTCCTTGTCTGCCAGGCCCCCCGACCGAGACCTCTCACCATAAACACAGATTGCATGACACGTGCGTGTTTAATACAGGTGATGCCTCAAGACATTGTCTAAGTCACCACTCCCAAAAATAAAAAAAGTGGCAGCCATTTTTGTTCTCGGAGTTACCCTTTTTCCCAGAATGCATTGTATCATTATGTAAGCAAGGCGTTGATTGGTTCATAATTTACGGCGTTAAACATAAACTGGACAGGCGCGAGGATGCTACTCAGCGCTTGTTAAATAACGTCTTGACGCCCGCAATTAATCTTTTTAACGCCGTGACTTTACGCCTGTATATGATATTTGAACGCCTGTAGAATTAACTTTTTCACGAGCGTAAATTACGCCTATACGGGCGTAATTTACGTCTGCTCGGGCGTAATTTACGTCTGCACGGGTGTAATTTTACGTCTGTACGGGCGTAATTTAACATTTGCACGAGTGTAATTAACGCCTTCACACCTGTAAACAACGCATGCATTCTTTATACTAATAGGCCAACCATAGTTAATATGTTCAATAGCGGGCGTCAAGACATTATGTAACACGCGTTGAGAAACATCTATACGCCCGTCGAGTTTATTTTAGCGCCGTAAATTATGAACCAATCAGCATCTTGCTTCCATATTGATATGATGCATACTAGCTAAAAATGCAACTCCAAGATCCTTTGTGCAAGTTAATAACATACTCACGATTGTGCCAGAAACAACTAATTGCAATTGATGGCATAGATACATTATTTCTTTTCTGTGTATCTTGGTGCACTATTTGTGCAAATGTGAAAGATAGTACATCGTATTTTAAATGAGTTATGTATTCCTGAAAATAACATGTGACTCTAAAGAGGACTGCATAAAGATTCCAAAAAGTACAAATCTCTCTAATACCATCCTCCTAAGCAGGTGTCCAGAATCCGTACCTCCTTCTTCCCCCCTGCTATAAGCAGTTAGCATTTCCCCAATTAAGAACTCGCAATTTGATTGGTTGTCGCAACACTGCGACATCAATCATGTGTACGTCATCGGTGCATAATTGGATCACGTGATTCAGTTTAATCGGGCGCGTCCAACTTGGTTATAGCAGGGGGTAAAAAGAAAGAAGATATTCTGGATTTTGAAGCCCTGTGATCGGAGGATGCTCTAATACCAAATTTGAACATATGTTGGCTAGGTTTACTAGGTATATAGGCTCATCTGACATTTTCAGTACATTTTCAAAAATCAATATATTATTATTATTATTATGCATATGCAGTTGATCAAATACTATAATTCTCGTATCTGAACACATCCTTTAGAGGGATACATTAGCGATCTGACTGCATAATGCTTTGTAAGCTGCAATGCGTGTGAGCTTAAGTCCCTGCCTCTGAAGCCGACGCCTAGATTCTTACAGAGAATTATCCAAAAAAATCATCGTATTTAGAAACCAAACATGTATACCTTCTCAAAAATACTGCAATTTTGTCGTTTCTACAATGGGTGTTGATAACTCCCGACACGGTATCTTTAGTTTGCCTTTTAATTTGCTTTAAAAATTGAATACTTTTTTGGTTCAGTCTAACAATCTTGAACCAATAGTTAAGGACCTCAATGCAACACACTAAAATGTAATCGGGCTTCTGATTGTTATTTACTTGCGAAAGGATCTTGGAGTTGCTCTTTTAGCAAGGATGCATTGAAATGTAAGCAAGGTGCTGATTGGTTCATAATTTACGGCGCTAAAAATAAACTCGGCGGATGTGAAGATGTTTCTCAACGCGTGTAAAACGCCCGTAATTAATCATTTTAACGCCGAAGTTAACGTCCTTAAATGTTGTTTGAACGCCCGTAGAATTAACTTCTTCACAGGCGTAATCTATGCCTACACAGGCGTAATTTTACGTCTGAACGGGCGTAATTTTACATCTGTAGGAGCGTTATTAACGCCTACAGACCCGTAAACAACGCGTGCATACATTGGGCGAGTAAGCCAACCATTATAGAATAGGTCTTTGCGCTTGCAGAAAATGAACTTTATTATAATGACCATGGCCGCAGCACTAATACTGCTAAATCAGTCAATGCATAAAATAAACTGGAAATAGTACATTTTCATGACATACGAAAGTTTCAGAAAACTACAATATGGGCTCCATTTTCAAAGTTTTCGTTTTTATATTATGTTTGTGTATTTGTTTATGGTGGATTTTTCTGTATCAAGAAAATATTATAAATAAATTCACATCAACAAGTATAGAAGATGAAAAGATGAAATACACAAGCGGTAAACTTATTAAATTCAAAAGTCGACCTCATAATTACACCGAATCAGCATCAAAATTGGATTTAACTGAATCGAGGATATTTCTTAGTAAACAGATAGATGGGAACAACAAAACTGTAATAAGTCCCCATGATTATGAATATTTAGTTAAGGAGGAGACGATCTGTGCACACAATCCGTTTATGTTAATATTTATCCACACGGCTCCTAAAAACAGTGTTCGCCGGAACACGATTCGCAAAACATGGGGCAGTGTTAGAAACATAAAGGGCTACCGTATTGAGCTGATATTTCTACTAGGCGTTGCCCTTAATCGATCAACAAATGATGATATTGTGCAAGAGAGCAAGCAATACCATGATATAATACAAGAAGATTTTATAGACTCATACAGAAATTTGACACTGAAGGGAATCATGGGACTCAAGTGGACCATAGACTTTTGCCCTCATGCAACATTTGTTTTGAAAACAGACGACGATGTTTTTGTGAACATATATCCATTGTTTGACTATCTCTTGAAGATTAATAAAGAAGAAACTGGACGCCATAACTTATTAGGCTTCATTCGGCCACCTGAACCTCCACCGAGGCAATCAAATTTAAATAAGGCGACGAAGGAGGAATATGCAAAAGATATGTATCCACCATTTTGTAATGGTCTGGCTTTCATATACTCCATGTCTGCTGTCAAAGCAATATACAAAGCATCATTATACGAACCGTTCTTTTGGATAGACGATGTTTTTATAACTGGGGTACTTGCTGAAAAAGCCGGTGTTAAACATACTCAGCTGAATCACAAATACCCTTCAAATATATTAACTTCTAGTGATGTTACTCTTAAGGCATTGAAAGGGGAAAAAGAAAAGTATCTGTTCGTTTTGATTCACGATTTGCACAAGTTTCCATCACGTATGGATGACTTTTGGAAAATTTCAAGAAACAACGGCTGAATGATAGCTGGTACCGTAGTTTACCATGATTCATGACAATACTAGCACTTGGCAACTCTTACATCAGTTGGCTATCTAAGCACGATGACCTCAGAGAAAACACTGGATAATTTAAAAGAATATAATTCATACTCGTATAATATAAAAGTAAAATTCTTGAAAACCTATTCGAACTTAAAAATCTAGGTCTTTAGGATAATGCCTGAACCTGAACTTGATTACTTTTTTCACCGAGATGCTTAGATGTTTAGAGCAGAAAACAAATGCTATTTTGTGTAGTAGCAGTTTATAAAAAAAACACTGGTCTAGTATTTAAAATATTTAAAGATTTTATTTGCAAATGCCTTGGCGTATATGAGGCCTTGTCAGTACTACAAATAATGATGCTTCAATATACGAGGTAGGAATCATTTAAACTAAATGAAAAATACGTCATTCATAATATCAGACAGACGGATCGATTGACTAACGGATGCAATAATGGAGGGATGGGCGGATAGAGGTAGTCTCTACACAGGTCTTATACGATAACAGATGTATCAAATATGTGATGTTTTATTAAAATCTGCGATATTTACGTTGATATTATTCAACGCGGACCCATCTGTATGGAATGATCAATGACGGCAGTCGCCCATGCATTGAATAGACGCAAAAACTACATGTAGTTGGTCAAATAGTTTATTGTACCTAACTAAACTAAAACAATAGACTACAATAGAAGTTACATAATATATACTTACACGTCGCACGAAACTGGGGACAATTTGAGTAACATTATGGCGTCAAAATACCAAAACAATACAATGGCCAGTATAGGGCGCAATCAGCATTATAACGTCAAAAACGACAAGCGTTACATTTTGTCAAGTTTAGTCAACCTAAAAATAAGATGCTTTATTCTTATTCAATACTGGTGAAACTCACAGAGCAAGAAGATCTCGAGGACAATATTTCTAAAATGTTTTTGATTTTTGAAAACCGGTCAGAAAATCCACTCGGGACGTTAGTAAAAATTGATATGTATGGAATTTGTGGTAAAAAATCGATGCGTTACATTTTTTCAAGTCTCTAAAAGCAACTCTTATTCTCTTATTATTTGAAAAATAGAGAAATCGGTTTTTGTTTTGTAAATTTCGCCATGACAATATTGTGCAGTTAAATTTTTTTTGAAATCAGACCTAAATTAGTAGGTTAAATAAAGGTAAACTTATTGCTTGTCTCCCTCGCCTTCAAAACCTTACACAATTTTGAAAATCTTAAAAGCGTTCATATAAGACGATTTGAACTGTAGCCGCTAGGCAATTGTGACGTCATAAAAGCACATGTTTCAATGAATAAAATGTGAAATTTTAGTAAAATTCTGATCAGTATTTCAAAAGTTATCCCGATTTCAACGAACCGTGTAAGCGTGAAATGTTACGCCTTACAGCGTATTTGACGATGTCGGAGTACATTTAACTTAAAAAATATGGTAGATCCCATCACACTTTTCAAGGAAAAATAATTTCAGTGAAATGCGAATAAAAAATACTTCAAAATGATATATAATGCATATAGTTAGCTTTTTAAATAAGGCAGATATTAACGCTTAAAGCTGAGATTAGCCCGTATTTCCCGAATTGTCCCCAGGTCCGTGCACGTCATAACTGCGTTAATTAATAGATGTTACGTAATAAAACAATAGAAAATACACAACATTACATTGCATTAAAGTAGTTACATAATAGCATATACTATTATGACTAACTACGGGGTGTTCATGTATGGAATAACCCCATTGTCCACCTTCCTTGGGAAGTATGTGCACTTCTAAAAATATTGCAGTAAAAAGGATAGTAGGAATATTAATCAAACAATTCGGAAAAGTATGAACAATGACCCCATGTCAACATTTTTTCGAAATGTAAATCCTATTACTTTTCCCGATTATTATTGCATGAAAAGATTATTTAACAAGGGGTCTAGAGTTTTACAAAAGTAGAATGGATTGAAAGTCTAGTTTTGAAGATATCAATAATCGATGACCAAAATTATGCTGAAAACAATAGATAGCATGAGTTTTCCCTATGGGGAAAATAACATGGAATATGTGTTTTTTCTAACTGTATTGCATTTCAATCCCCATCCCGTTTCAGAAGTTGTTAAAATATTGTAGAATAAACTTTTGATAAATTTATATTGAGAAAAACAAAATCCTCTTTTTAGAAAATAAGCCTAATATTTTTTATACGGCCTGTAAGGCCAAAGAAAATGTAATTTATTGTAATAAATTACAATATCATTAATTATACACAGTTCTGTATAATTGAGCAAAGGGATTGGTATAGATATGGTGAACTCGGGGTGAACTGAATTCAACAATGTTTTTCTCTTAAACCAATTATTGAAAACATTCTGTAAAAAGACATGGTTCTTTATGTAAATGTTGACTGATTGACAACAATTTAGTGCGAAACTTATTCATACATATTTTATATAACTGTTTTGTTAACATTTTTTGTTCCTTAGTGCAATTGTTTCTTTGTTCCTTTCTACCAATTCTTGAAGATAAAATAAAATGTCTTTCCGAACCTTGTTGGAACAAAATAGCATATAATACAACACTTTCTTAGACCTCTCAATAATATAGTTATACTAAGGAATGTTCAAAAAATTAATCCCCTCCAAAAAAAGAATAGAAATAAATCAAGATAAACCCTTTATTTCATTAACAAGATACCTTTTTTTAAATCCACCAAACTTTGAGAGACCTAAATTCGTTTGTATCATTATCATATGGGCTTTCAAGAGATTATCAGCTTCTAAATTTTTTATGTCTTATAAGGGAATAAATGACCCAGTTACTTTGAAAATATTGTGGAAAACAAATGATAAACAAATGATAAACTATGAGAGCATTTTTATCAGGACTTCTGGATCGGCCCTTGTACATGTCTGACTTGATATTGAGCTGAAATCGAAAGTTTATCGAGATTGGACGAATGTTGTCCACCATCTTGGATGATACTAACACCAGTTGTTGACCAGTGATAATGATACAAATGGAGGCTTAATTGAAGGATGTGCTCTATTTGTTCTGAATTAGTGATAGTTCCGTGCTGGTTTAACTGTTTTAGCCTAACTTAACAGCACGATCATTACAGTAAGTTTAACAGTGGGAAACATCACATCGTCTGTTTCCACCCTCAATCACAGGCCCGAATTTAAATACAGCAAGATGAAACAGCGAGTGGTTTAACATTTTTGGCACATACAACAATAATGTCAATGTGTAGCCTGGGATCTGTAAATATTAGTATATTATCAGATTAATGTAACAAATGTAGTTCTATTAGGTATGTCGGGCATTAGGCCTATTATTTTAACATTGGCTGGAAGCCACATTGATTTGAAATGTGCAGTTAGGGGTTTCGATAAGCGTCCCGTATTAGAACAGTATGGCGGCTTCCGGCGAGTCTACTGGATCAGTTTATTTATGAACTCAGGGGATTTTTGAAAATTTTCGAAGAATAAATAATCCATTAATTCTGTAAACATTCTGATTCTGTAAACATTGAGAGGGTGAATTATCCAAAGAATGCATATGCATCAGCCAATATATAAAGGTTATGTACTGGGAGGTTTTGGATATACTCTATATCCAAAACCCATCTGGGGTTCCACCTTTTTTTTCAAATGACAAGATATGCCTATACTGTAAAAGCACAATTTATATTTAACATTTCCGTCATATTCCTTTAGTTCACAATACAATGAAATTGTAACATTGAAACGTTTTAACGAATTTTAAACTTTTAAATGTTCAAAATTTTGAAAAATTCCCGAGAGCGGGACGGATATATTATATCTGCCCGCATTTGGCCTGTAGCGCGACATGTACAATATATCCTTACCCGCTCCTCAGATATGATATATATTCCCTGGTGATATCTACCCCGAACCCACTCAAGTATGAGATACAAATAGAGATGATCCTATATGAGGTTCAGGATATTGGGATTATCCCGAGGCCAATATAATATATCTGCCCGAGGGCCGTAGGTCCCGAGGGAAGATATATTATATTGGCCTCGGGATAATCCCAATATCCTGAACCGACTATAGGATAATACGTTTATCCCATACCAATCTTGGTCATTCTGTTCACATTGTTCAACCGTGGAAATATTTTAGAATATTCATGTTCAGTTTTGTTTTCTTGGCCATGGCCGGATTTTCCCTTTCTCTCAGATATTCCCACATTTATTGTCTCGAATTTTTGATTGATTAACTGGATGCTCCATCCCTTTTAAACCATCAAACAGATCGCAATTGTCTACGTTTTTCTCCATTGTCGTTTACAGTTATTACGCGAACGTTACAAATTATGAACCAATATGCATGCGAGCAACGATTATGACGTAGCGGGCAGATATACTATATCTGCCCGCTCGGAGCGGGACGTAAAGCTATATCTGCCCGCTGATGAAGATATAAGTTTGTACAAACCGTCTTTATGTACCTGTAACACGTCCAAGTATGGGATAAATCCTTTTATCCCATGCCAAGTAGAGGTTTCCATATCCAGAACATCCATATCTCTCGCTTCAGGGCATATCTTCCCATTTTGAAAAAAAGAAAAAAATTGAAAAAATTATAAAAAAATGTTGAAAAATTAGAGAACTCCACATGGTATAGGATAAAGCAGTTATGTAAGGTCGGTTTGGATATGGCGTTTATCCAGAGAGAGATATGCAACTGAGGGACCGTACCTACACATAACCCTTATGTTTCAATCCGAACTGCTTTTACATATTTCAGAAGGCAACGCTTAGGTCTCATACGTGATGGGTAAATCTAAATGTCAATTTTCCTATAAGCACAAATAGAATGTCCTGAAACTTCACCCATGAATTGTAAAGTTGATTTGTCAAAATAAAAATCACCCTTTGATAAAGATGTGACAATCCATACTATACTACAATACATTACACAATACTACAGTACACTATAACACTACTCTCTACTTCACTACACTATACACTATACTAATCGCACAACAGCAACCTCGACCTCTGGGAAATACAAGTACAAGGTTTGGGGGAGGGAATTGTGGCTATCAGGGATAATCGAACGCTATTTTTGGCTTAGAAAACAAACATAAAATTTTGATAATATGTCGTGTGAAAAATGACTTGATATACGAAACTGATTAATTTACTTTTATTTCCCGCCTATGGCCTCAAGAGGTCAATTTTCTTGTCCTAGTCGAAAACGCAATAGCATTGAATGCCCCACCATCTTGTTACTGACAGATACGTCGTCGTTATCAGCTTTTCGAGTTCATCCATTATCGATAGTCCATGGCATATAATCCCGGCTGCGCTGATACGCATCGCTAAATCAGTCAATGCAAAAAACAGTACGTGTTCATGACATACGAAAGATTCATAAGAGCAACAATATGAATTCTATTTTCAAAGTATTTGTTCGTATATTGTGTTTGTGTATTTGTTTTTGGTGTATTTTTCTATATCAAAAAGGGATTATAATTCGATTCAGAACATCAAGTATAGCAGGAGAAATAATGGAATACACAAGCGGTAAATATAATTACAACGTATCAGTATCAAAATTTGATGGCGTAACTGAAACGAGGATAGTTTTAAATAAAATGATGGAGGAGAACAACAAAACTGTAATAAGTCCCCATGATTATAAATATTTAATTAACGAGGAGACGATCTGTGCAAGCAATCCGTTTATGTTAGTATTCATCCACACGGCTCCAAAAAATAATATTCGCCGAAACATGATTCGCAAAACATGGGGCAGTGTTAGAAGCATAAAGGACTATCGTATTGAGCTGATATTCCTACTAGGCGTTGCCCTTAATCGATCAACAAATGATGATATTGTACAAGAGAGCAAGCAATACCATGATATAATACAGGAAAATTTTATAGAATCCTACAGAAATTTGACACTGAAGGGGATCATGGGCCTTAAGTGGACCATAGACTTTTGCCCTCACGCGACATTTATTTTGAAAACAGACGACGATGTTTTTGTGAACATATATCCATTGTTTGACTATCTCTTGAAGATTAATAAAGACGAAACTGGACGCCATAATTTGTTAGGCTTCATACGGCCACCTCAACCTCCGGCGAGGAAATCAAATTTAAATACGGCGACGAAAGAGGAATATGCGAGAGATATGTATCCACCATTTTGTAATGGTCTGGCTTTCATATACTCCATGTCTGCTGTCAAAGCAATATACAAAGCATCATTATACGAACCGTTCTTTTGGATAGATGATGTTTTTATAACTGGGGTACTTGCTGAAAAAGCCGGTGTTAAACATACTCAGCTGAAGCACAAATACCCTTCATATTTATTAACTTCCAGTGATGTAACTTTAAATACATTGAAAGGTGATAAAGACAGGTATCTGTTTGTTTTGATTCACGATTTGCAAAGATTTCCATCACGTATGGATGACTTTTGGAAAATTTTAAGATTAAACACAACTGTTGATGGACAATAATACGTAGTCTACCATGTTATTATGGTTGATAGCAGTACTAGCACTGGATAACCCTTACATCCTAGCACAATGACCACAAAGAGAACATTGGATTACTTGATAGAATATAGTTCATAATATAGTATGATAAATATATCATTCTTAAAAACATATTTGGGATAATGCCTGAACTTGATTTCTTTTTTCCGGAGATGCTCTTTAGAGCGGAAGACAAATACTCGATCTTTTGTTTGGTGACAGTTTATTAAATTAAGATTTGACCTTCTGAAAACTTGTAGATGATTTTGAAAAGTCTAAACTGTATTTGTTAATACCATCCGTCGATCACAAACCGCCGTCACAAAACGGAGACCATAATGGTGGTAACAATATGTCACCACCTTTTGGTGGTGACATAAAAAAAGAAAAATGTGTCATTCCAATATATCATTCATTATATGAGGCGGATGGATGGACTTACGGAAACATAAAGACTAAAAAATAACAAGCGATATTCAACGTGACTTCCGTTAGATATCAAATGATATTCACCAGTCACTATATTCCATTGACTAACATATTAACAGACCCTCTTTGTAAGGAACGCCTGCCTTCTGGGAACGAGGAATAGTGTTTTAAGGAAAATTTTGAAAATCCATTCTGATTCTGTAAACATTGAGAAGGTGAATTATCCAAAGAATGCATATGCATCAGCCAATATATAAGGGTTATGTACTGGGAGGTTCGGTCCCTCGGTGAGATATATAGAGATTATCCTATATGAGGTTCAGGATATTGGGATTATCCCGAGGCCAATATAATATATCTGCCCGAGGGCCGTAGGTCCCGAGGGAAGATATGTTATATTTGCCAAGGGATAATCCAAATATCCTGAACCGACTATAGGATGATCTGTTTATCCCATTCCAATCACATTGTTCAATTGGCCAAAGTTCAGAAACTTAGCAACAAACCGTGGAATTATTTTAAAAAATTCATGTCCAGTTTTGTATTTTTGTCCGTAGCCGGATTTTCCTGTTCAAATCTTTGATTATTTACGGGGCATACTGCTCCTTCCCTTCTTTAAAGCATATAACAGATCGCGATTGTCTGCGTTTTTCTCCATTGTCGTTTACAGTATGCGAACGTTACAAAAAAAAGGACCAATACGGGAACAGCGATTATGACGTAGCGGGCAGATATACTATATCTGCCCGCTCGGAGCGGGACGTAAAGGTATATCTGCCCGCTGATGAAAATATAAGTTTTTACAAACCGGCTTTATGAACCCGTAACACGTCCAAGTATGAGATAAAAATATATATCCCTCAGGATATACCCTATATCCAAAACCGATCTCATAACTGGTATATATCATACTTGAGAGGGTTTGGGGTTCCACCTTTTTCAAATGACAAGATAGGCCTATGGGTGTAAAAGCACAATTTATATTTAACATTTCCGTAATATTCCTTTAGTTCGATACAATGAAATTGCAACATTTAAACGTTTTAACAAATTTTAAACGTTTAAATGTTAAAAATTTTGAAGAATTCCCGGGAGAGGGATGGATATATTATATCTGCCCGCATTTGGCCTGTAGCGGGACATATACAATATATCCTGCCCGCTCCTCAGATATGATATATATTCCCGCGTGATATCTACCCCAAACCCACTCAAGTATGAGACACAAATCCTTTTATCCCATGCCATCTAGAGATTTTCATATCCAGAACCTCCATATCTCCTGCTCCAGGGCATATCTTCCCGCTTTGAAAAAATATTTTGAAAAAAATTTAAAAATAGTAAAAAAAATATTTTGAAAAAAATTTAAAAATTAGAAAACTCCACTTGGTATAAGATAAAGCAGTTATGTAAGGTCGGTTTGGATATGGCGTTTATCCAGAGAGAGATATGCATATCTACCTGAGGGACCGTACCTACACATAACCCTTATGTATCAATCCAAACTGCTTTTACATATTTCAGGAGGCTCCGCAATGGCCTCATAAGTGATGGGTGAAACTAAATGTCAATTTTCCTATTAAACACAAATAGAATATCCTGAAACTTCACCCATAAAATGTAAAGTTGATTTGTCAAAATAAAAATCAACCTTTGATAAAGATGTGACAATCCATACAATATTACAATACATTACACAACACCACACTACACTATAACACTCTCTACTCCACTACACTATACACTATACTATACGCACAACAGCAACCTCGACCTCTGGGAGATACTAGTACAAGGTTTGGGGGAGGGAGTCGTGGCTATCAAGGATACTCGAATGCTCTTTTTGGCTTAGAAAACAAACATTTTGATAATATGTCGTGAGAAAAATGACTTGATATACGAAACTGATTAATTTACTTGTATCTCCCGCCTATAGCCGCTAAATCATAAGAGGTCAATTGCAATTTTCTTGTCCTAGTCGAAATCGCAATAGCATTGGATGTCCCACCATCTTGTTACTGACAGATACGTCGTCGTTATAAGCTTTCTGAGTTCATCCATTATCGATAGTCCATGGCATATAATCCCGGCTGCGCTGATACGCATCGCTAAATCAGTCAATGCAAAAAACAGTACGTGTTCATGACATACGAAAGATTCATAAGAGCAACAATATGAATTCTATTTTCAAAGTATTTGTTCGTATATTGTGTTTGTGTATTTGTTTTTGGTGTATTTTTCTATATCAAAAAGGGATTATGATTAGATTCAGAACATCAAGTATAGCAGGAGAAATAATGGAATACACAAGCGGTAAACATAATTACACCGTATCAGTATCAAAATTGGATGGCGTAACTGAAACGAGGATAGTTTTAAGTAAAATGATGGAGGAGAACAACAAAACTGTTATAAGTCCCCATGATTATAAATATTTAATTAACGAGGAGACGATCTGTGCAAGCAATCCGTTTATGTTAATATTTATCCACACGGCTCCTAAAAACAGTGTTCGCCGGAACATGATTCGCAAAACATGGGGCAGTGTTAGAAGCATAAAGGACTATCGTATTGAGCTGATATTCCTACTAGGCGTTGCCCTTAATCGATCAACAAATGATGATATTGTACAAGAGAGCAAGCAATACCATGATATAATACAGGAAAATTTTATAGAATCCTACAGAAATTTGACACTGAAGGGGATCATGGGCCTTAAGTGGACCATCGACTTTTGCCCTCACGCGACATTTATTTTGAAAACAGACGACGATGTTTTTGTGAACATATATCCATTGTTTGACTATCTCTTGAAGATTAATAAAGAAGAAACTGGACGCCATAATTTGTTAGGCTTCATACGGCCACCTCAACCTCCGGCGAGGAAATCAAATTTAAATACGGCGACGAAAGAGGAATATGCGAGAGATATGTATCCACCATTTTGTAATGGTCTGGCTTTCATATACTCCATGTCTGCTGTCAGAGCAATATACAAAGCATCATTATACGAACCGTTCTTTTGGATAGATGATGTTTTTATAACTGGAGTACTTGCTGAAAAAGCCGGTGTTAAACATACTCAGCTGAAGCACAAATACCCTTCATATTTATTAACTTCCAGTGATGTAACTTTAAATACATCGAAAGGTGATAAAGACAAGTATTTGTTTGTTTTGATTCACGATTTGCAAAGATTTCCATCACGTATGGATGACTTTTGGAAAATTTTAAGATTAAACACAACTGTTGATGGACAATAATACGTAGTCTACCATGTTATTATGGTTGATAGCAGTACTAGCACTGGATAACCCTTACATCCAAGCACAATGACCACAGAGAGAACATTGGATTACTTGATAGAATATAGTTCATAATATAGTATGATAAATATATCATTCTTAAAAACATATTTGAACTACACAGAAAACTAGGTCTTTGGGATAATGCCTGAACTTGATTTTTTTCACCGAGATGCTCTTTAGAGCGGAATGTCATTGAAGGTGAAATCTATGGACGGATTTAAACTTTATAGGACTTCTAGATGATTTTGAAAAAAATTGATCAATTTGAAGCAAGTTGAAAAATACCTTTTTTACCTTTTTTGACCTTGAAAGGGTCACTGAAGGTCAAATCTAGAATATAAAGTCGGATTTGACCTTCTGAAAACTTGTAGATGATTTTGAAAAGTCTAAACTGTATTTGTTAATACCATCCATCCGTACAAACCGCCGTCACAAAACGAAGACCATAATGGTGGTAACAATATGTCACCACCTTTTGGTGGTGACATAAAAAAAAAAGTGTCATTCCAATATATCATTCATTATATCAGGCGGATGGATGGACTTACGGAAACATAAAGACTAAAAAATAACAAGCGATATTCAACGTGACTTCCGTTAGATATCAAATGATATTCACCAGTCACGACTTAGTCCATTGTAATTCTGATTTTATATATCCCGGGAGAACGATGTTATGATTAATTAGACATCAATAGTTTGTTTTTCTTAATGTTAGTGTGGAATATAACAGTGAACAGTAAAACAAATATTTAATTCTATTTGACATTTCTATATTTCACTGTCATTTTACTCATTCTATGAGATCACATGTTTGTGATATTTCCATGTTATGCTTTACTAATCATAGGTAGAAATCAATTGAAGTGCTAACATTTCCTTTAAGGCATAAGGTAACTACAATTTCAATCAATATATTCAGCATACAATTGTTGACCTCTCCAGAGGTCAACCGGCAAAATTGTATACCGAGACTGTAAACCGAGAAACTACTGTTGACAGAGACCGAAGGTCGAGGTCAACAGTGGTTTCAAGGTTTACAGTAGAGGTACAGTATATGATTTTGACGGTTGATCGAATGGAGAGGTCTACAATTGTTTTGTTAGTCCGAAGAAACTAATAATACACATATAGACGACAATCATCAATCGGCATGGCTTCATTTCACAACTTTTTCTCCGAACCACGTTAGCAATATTTTTTTAGAAAAAATGAAGACAGTGCAAGTAGCTAAACTCTCTGTATTCGGCACATCACGGCGTACTCATTAGTAAATTATTGTTAATTTTACGTTTCTATTTGTATTTTTGCTATATTTGTTGTCTAGTAAAGTCAAAATATCATTTTCATCAACGTTTACAAAATGTCCGTCTTCCATGTTTTTGTGACGTCATGAAACTTTTTTTCAAAAGTAGCGGTCAACAGTACCTAGTAGCGGTCAACGGTACATATTTTTGACCGCTAATCAACCAATCAGAATCGAGTATTTCAGTTGAGGTACTAACAATAAAACCTGTCCGATGGAATATTTTTCTGTAAGGAACTCTTGAGTACAAGGAATCAATTTCAAAGGAACTAAATATTTTTTCCATTGACTAACATGTTAGCAGACCCTCTTTGTAAGGAACGCCTGCCTTCTGGGAACGAGGAATACTGTTTTAAGGAAAATTTTGAAAATCCACCTGTTCGCAAGGAACATGGAAAATTAGTTACACCAGAGCCCGTTTCTCGAAAATATCGTCAATTACGAGAAACGGGCTCTTGTATATTCTATTGTTTTTTAAAGGCGCGAATGGCTTCTAAGCCAACATGCGATTCTAAAGAGCTTGAATTAATGTGAATGAGATTAGGATAAGCCGATTGTTGACAGCTAGCTGCGACATCCCTACCACTGTTAATTTAATCCCTATATTTTTAAATCAATATATTTGTGCACCTATGCTTTCTTTCATTAAAAGTCGATTCTATCTGACAGGTGGATCTGTTCTAGGGACTGATACAACTGTTTATGGAGATGATAGAAACGGAAACACCTTTCTACAGGGAACAATGCAAATTCAGCCAGTCCAGGGAGCGTTCTTTGTTTGCAGGAATTGCTTTAGATGGAATAATCTTAGTTATGAGCTGTTGATAAAGAGCCCTAAGAAATGTTTCCGTCTTAAAAGTGACGGCCGTTTTAACATTTCATGAAATACTTTGCCAACATTTTCAAAGGTTATTGTTCACATATATATTTATACATGGCAATGTAATTTCAAACAAAATAATATGATATTTTTTAATTTATAACACAATAAAAATATACATGTAATATCAACAAAACTTCTAGATATTACGGCTCAGCCTATAAATTAAAAAATAGAACCATGGGTACTGGGCTCACATGGTAAAAGTGC